GCCAGTTTAAAACAGTAACATTTAGAAGTGGTGAGTGGTAGTGGTATGCCCAAAGACATCAATATAGAATAATACAAATTAACAACCAACATTTTGCCTTAGATTGAGATGATAGAATACAGGGCATGTCAAAAGTTCAAATAACCCAGATGTACTGGATACAGTAGATGTTTTATTACTGGGAAGCTTTTTATATTTAATTCTGCATATCAATAGATAATTTATAAGGATAATACTAAAGCATGATATAGTTATGCTTTTTAAATCAACTATAATCACTAATTTCTTCTTTTCTCCAAAGCCATTTTAGCTGTCAATTTTACCAGTAAAAATAATTGACCAACCAGTAAAAATTGTGTGTAGAATTAAACCACAGCCTTGCAGGTGTCAACTTTCCTATGCATGATACATGACTTTATCAGAAAATATAAGACTGGATCAAATTTGTGTGGCGGTTTAACTTGAACAATCCAGGGGGAGTAAGTTTTTATAATCCAAAATAGTGATTTTAGACCACATTGGATGTTATCTGATAGGCAAATTATAGTTAGTAGAACAATCGAAAAAAAAAAAAAAAAATTTTAAATTTTGTAGGCCTAGGTATGCAGTACTTTCATTTTACAGCAGCTTGGAACGATATCGGGGGTGGGGGAGCTGGCATGGCCTACTGTAAGACAACAATATATTAAACCACCTTAGAAGGTGTCAACATTCCTATGTAGAATAATAGTGAAGTTATATGACTAAATTTTATACTACAATATTTCAATTTGAAAACATATTTAGACTGTTTATACTCTGTTATGCTGCGGCAGCGGAAATGAAGGCCCATAGGCCTAATTAATACATCAACAGTACACTTTTATCACTATAGATTGTTTTTAACTTTCACAGGGACGTATCCAAGGAGTTTTAATACAAATTCTTTCCTTGAATCACTCAGACTCTTTAATAGTGATCAACAAAACTAAAAAAGTGAATACAAGAGTTCCTATTGCATTATATGCATAGGAACTAAAAGCACTTATTAGGCCTAAGTAGCCTAGGCTGACCTTCTTTCAATAAATGAACATTATTCCAGTCCAGGCCTAGGATATGATTATGTACTATTTTTTGAAGCCATTGAACTCCACTTAAAAGAGGCAATACCTCATGTTGCGTGCACTTAGCTGGCATTATATGAATGAATTTACCAGTAAAAATTGTTTAATTGGGAGAACACTGAAACAATCTCAAATGTTTTAAGAATCAAACCGATGACCTCCAGATAAGCAGCCATGTCTTAACCACTATACTTCAATTGTCGTACCAATTGACCAACTACTGAATGAATGTTTAAATATGAATACACTTATATTTCTAATAATATAATGATGTTAATAATTGAATACTAGAATATAATCATTTTACATTTGAAATCATCATTATGACTACTACAATAATCATTTTCATAATTAAAGTTATTTTTCCATTCATGGTATTCAATAAAGTAAATCATCACATTCAAATCACTATGCTAATTTATCTTTCTAATTACCTTTTCTAAATGCTTTATATATTGTGCCAAATAATTTGAAATTAATTAATTACAAGAATAATCAATTATAATTATTTCTGGATGTCTCTGTTAACTACAATATGCTTGCATTATATAGTCATTGAGGATATTATTTATGGAAACAAGAGATAAACTTGAAATTATCGGTATTAAGCAACAGGAAATGTTGATGAAGACTGGAATAAACGATAGTATACCGTAAGCAGTTATAGAAGGTTGTACTGAGCTGAACTACTGATCTGTATCTCCTCTCAGAAAACAAACAAAAACACATGCTTATTTCACAGTAATTACTCATTGCTCAGGTGATATGAGTTGGCCTACACTGCCTACAATACAACTGTAATTTATATTCCAAGTTATTACACTGTAAATCAATTAGTATCAGAATCTCTGAAATAACACAAAAAACTGTTTAGACGTCATCTCGATATCAGGAGAGCTCATTTTCCTTCACATTCGTCTTCACATTAATGCTTGCATTATATTTAGTCATTGAGGTATATATTATTTATGGAAACAAGAGATAAACTTGAAATTATCGGTATTAAGCAACAGGAAATGTTGATGAAGACTGGAATAAATGATAGTATACCGTAAGCAGTTATAGAAGGTTGTACTGAGCTGAACTACTGATCTGTATCTCCTCTCAGAAAACAAACAAAAACACATGTTTATTTCACAGTAATTACTCATTGCTTAGGTGATATGAGTTGGCCTACACTGCCTACACTGCCTACAACTGTAATTTATATTCCAAGTTATTACACTGTAATTAATTAGTATCCGAATCTCTGAAATGATACAAAAATTGTTTAGACGTTATGGTGATATCAGGAGAGCTCATTTTCCTTCCCATTCGTGTTCGCAGTTTATTTAATGCCATTTTTGGCTGCCGTTTTACTTCATTACATTAACAGCTTGTTATTTTGATTTGATCAATATCATTTGTGGACTGAATAATTTCAGACGATTTTATAGTACTTGGAAGGCTCTCTACAAATATCCTTACTATTACAAGGGGGGGGGGGTAAAAGTTAAATTGTAAATGCTGACCATTTGTTAAAGATGGAATTTCAATAAATTGTGCCAATCCAATTGGACTCTGTATCAAACAATGTACTGTTACATAACAATTTGGCTTTCAGAGCATGATGGGATAGAATTTCGAACATGCATGGTTTTAAAAACTGCAAGTACAGGTATATAAATAGATAACGGTCAAATTATAATATGTGAAAAGAGTTTTTTATACGTGTAAATAAGGTGGTCCACTTTTTTAAAGCAATTAAAAAAATTATTTATGAATATATATACAGTAGAGCACATATCTAAACAGTTCAAGGTGCCTTTTATCTCGCCATTGGATACAGAAGTATTCTTGTACAATTGTGCAGCCTCATACATTACTTTTGGAGTATTATCCAAATTATCAAATTTAGCACTATGATACATTTACTGGATACAACATTTTTCATCATTAGAGGTCAGTAGTGGCTCCCATCATGACAGCAATTGATATTTTGTCGCATGTTATACCAATGTGTTTACGATTTCAAAAATTGTACATTACACATCACCAGCCAACCTCATTTTTTCGATAGCTTCATCCTTGACAACCAATTTTTTAGATGAATCATTCACATTCCACCGGTTACTCCAATTCCTGGATGACTAGCAAGGCAAAAATGTCTTGCCCCATAGACATAGCAATGCAACCCGTCTTGGTCTCAAGCACACAAACCTCAAAACATAGAGTTTGAAACCTTACGTCCATTCCACGAGGCTTCCACCATTAGGCATCATTTTTACATTGTCATTTCGACACTGACGTGAAAGTCTATATTTTACTGATAAACTTCATTCATGTCATGTCATGTCATTTCGATTGGATAATTATATAAACTTATATCTATTCTGGACCAGGTATAACAACTGTCAATATAAAACAGGCTCTAAATAATGATTGTAGCCTACATTAAATGTTTGTATGGCATTAAATAGTATAGTATAATGATGAGTCCAAATAAAATTATCTTTTAAAACCATTCTGTTTTGTCCATCTAATTTTAACAAAACTTCTGTTATCATTACTTTCATTATGGTGCTTGGCACTGCCACAATATACAATTAAAATACAAGGACACAGGAAAAGGTACCGTACCTGTTCTTTTCAAGTAAAATATATTTTAATCATCAAAATGCATTAAACAGCCTCGAAAAAGGAACTATAGGGGGAAAAAACAGGAACAGATTGATTTGTAGGAAACTAGAAGGGGATTAAAATTTAAAGGAAAAAGTGGACGGTGGCAAATTTAATGGTACGATATAAGGAAATATATAATTACTAGGCCTTAGACTTATTAATAACTGGCGGCGGCTGTGGCTATATTTTCACAGGTCTTAACAAATTCTTAAACTGTACCTGTATATTGTACGTATGGTTTGGATTTTATCATCATAAATCAGAATTAGGAATAAGACTGAGTGCAACCATAGCCACTGCCTAATATCACATTGTCTTGCATCCAAAAACAATGAAATTCCATTAGGACTTCCACTGTACTGAGCCTGTTATTACGTTATACCTGTAATTTTGAGCAACCTATATTTTACACTCAGGACAAATACAGGAAATCAGCCTCAAAGCTTATCTTATTTCTTGTTGGTTGCACAACACTGAGCGGAATGTCAACATGTCTATTGATTTGTAAAAAAGGCATTCGTACACAACTTATCAAGTTCAATTTCAAATACATTTGTTAGTCTGCACAAAAATTTGTGGGCTTACTATATATCATACGATTACACAGTGGAAATTGAAATAAAATATTGATTGTGTTGTAAATTTTTAACCTGTCAAAATACCTGCGCCTAAGACAACTGAAAAGCGGAGTTTCCTTCTTTCGTTCTGCCGGGTAAAATCAATTACTTTAGACGACGTTTGTAGACTAACCTAGTCGTACCAACGTCCGCAGTACTATTCAGCGTTTTTACTATATTTCTAGGTTTCCTATTTCTACGTTTAATCGGCTCATGTCTCAGCCACAATATTTTGAGGCCAATATTATTTACGAACCCATTTACTAGCCTATTTCAACGTGCTAATTATTACATTTAGGCGACACTTGTTGTAGACTGGCATACTGTTTTCGGAAATAAATACCATTTTATACACATGCGCAGATCGATTCGCCAGCAGCGATTCATCGCCAGCAGCAGCGAGTCGCCAGCAGCGAGATGTCACTGCAGCAAAACACTATTGTACACGGTACCAACGCTGTTCTAATATAGACAATGGGTTGTGTATCATATTATTTGTTATATTTTTATTATTCATTATTTTCACTTGACTCGCATAAATAATTTTGTTCGAAGAACATTTATAACTGAACCTAAAACAGAACAATATTATTACAATTAAATTGATTAATATACTTACAATAACTTGTATCCGAATAGCATCTCGTTTTTGGACATCCTGTGCCATTTTATGGCGTTTTACAAACAATTTTCGACCATTAAATACCTAGGCTATACTCTAGCCAACCTGCCTGTCATAGCGACGTTATCGAACGACAGGACAGGGCAATGACTTCTTGACAGCTGGTGGAATTGTACTAAGTTTAGCGCCCTCAACTATTGAAAGTACAAACAACTGACTACCTTCACAGGTGGATGAGGTACCAGTAGACGGGCTTGAGAAATAGGAAATTAAAACGACTGTTTATGATTTATTCATGATTTACTTACTTCCTACTTCTTTTTAAGTATCCAGCAATATTTATTTCACAAAACAGTATTACTGATTATATACAGAAGTTGAAATGAAATAAATTATTGTGAAAAAGGTATCCCACTTTAAGCAAGCTTTTATTGTGGAGTCCTGAAAATAAGAGTGTGTTTAAATAATACATCAAGATTCAATATGAACAATAATTTTAAGAGAAAGAAAATGAAAATAAAATAAATAAATAAATAATGAATAAAAACAACAAAATAAGAACCTGTAATTCACGTAGTGCAAGAAACTAGTTACAAATGTAATTTATATTTAAAGTATTCATATTAGGTAAGTAAGTACTAAGTAAGTAAGTAAGTAAGTACAGTAACTAAATAAATAATCATTCCAAACTTTAGCTTCTTGAAAAGAAATATCACTTTGACCACTCACAGTATTTATAGAATCATAAACAAAGTTCTATTTCTAGTGTTGTAGTTGTGGACTGAACTAAGTTCTTGAAGTATGATTTAAAGATCGGAGGCAATTGATTAGACTTAAATTGAATCATAAAGATGTCAACATTTTTTTGTACGCTATAGGCCAATATCAAAAATATTTAGCGAGTTAAAAGAAACAAATGGCCTAATGGAGCAGAAGGATGAAGGTAATGAACATTGTATACAGACCTAAGTGCCTTCTTCAGTAGAAAAGATGATAGTAGTAACTTTGATACAGTAATAATTTTGTCATTATTATACACTTTTAACGCCTTTCCCTCAGGTATTCTGCGTACTACTATCGTCATAGAAATGAATGTATCACCCTAAATCAGCAAGACAGTATGAGTTCCTCCTTATAATTTTTCAATTGAAAGCTAAACTTGTAATTAAGACAGTGGCGAAACTAGGGGAAGCGGGGGCAGGGGTACACTCAACTAAAAGTTTGATGTGAAGTTTATTGCTCAAAACATGTCAACATTTAAAGTTGAATGATTTTTTTTATTATTACTTTGAGACTGCTGTAATTGTTGCGATACAATAATTTAAAAAAAAGTGTTCCCTTAAGGGTTAAACTATGATGTATTGATTGATCATTTGGCACACTCAGAAAGTGACACCTGTCCCCTTAATAGGGGTTGGCCGTAGTGTTAAAACATATTTTTTTCCCCATTTCAGGGAAATAAGTTACCTCAATAGGGGTGTCCCCTGAATACAGTAGGTGTGTCCCAAAGGAGGTGTTCTACTCTATCCTATGCCAAACATATAATGAACTCCATGCTTTAATCTACAAAATACCACTAACCACTTGGAATAGATGGGCTTTAACTGGATACTGTAGCTTTCTTTTTGAGATTAAATCTGCAAAGCAAAGAGTATAAAACAGCAAGAGGTCCGACTGCCGGGGATTCTTTGGAACGCAATCCTATTTCTAAAAGTACTACCCAAAAGGGGCGTGGCCTTTAAAAGAGCGTGAGTGCGTTCATATCAAATGCGTGCTGCGCATCTGTAGAATGTATGCTGGAATTCCTCGAAACGCACTGCACGCATTCGATACGAACGCCTTTTACGTTCTTATGAAGGACACACCCCTTTGTGGGAGTACTTTCCAACGTTCCATTGCCTGTATACAAAATAAGGGCAGTCGGACCTCTTGCAGTTTTTTACTCTTAGTGCAAATGAAGAGGGGGATTCTTTTCAAATACTGAATTTTATTATAAAAACAATATAAGGTATTTTCAACATGTAATTCTGTATGAAAAAAACTTTTTCAATTATCATCATCAAAGCATGCTGATGACAACATTACTTCTTGACAATCAAAAAGCAGGCACTATAAAGCAAAAGTTGTTAGTACAATAGTTTTTCAAATATAATTTCTTCATTGACCTCTTCATCATCAGCAACAATGGAATACTCCACCCCAGCCCTTTGATGTTTACTTTTAATTTTTCGAATTCTAAACCATAAATGCAGGTCTACATTAATACCACACTTTCTAAAAGACCTAAGCCACGTCTTTGTCAAATTCGTCCCTCCTGCTTCTTTCATCATGTGACTGCTCTTTTAAAAACAAAATAAGGGTCACAGTGGTGAATCCTCTTCGGACTACCTTTAACAAACTCTTCAAAACAATTTCCAACTTGTCATCATTTTGTCATATTACATCGAAGTCTCACACATTCTGTGTCTCTCTCGCGCTTAAGAACCAAACTTACACATACACCCATAAATGTGTTTCATATATTAAAAATGATATTTACACTATTTGTGGGTGGGCTCTGTAGCCCTCTTCTTACTAACATTCTTCATCTACAGTCTTGCATCTCATGTATACAAACTAGATGGCACTAACAACATTAATTCGTTTTATAAATAATAATAGGTCGATTTATATGGCACAAATAAACAAGGTTTGTAAGTGCCATGTCCAAGTAAAGAAGGTATAGAGCATTGGCAGATAGTTCAAGATGTCCTGAAATGCATGTACTGTATTCTCAAGAAAAAAAATGCAGATTCTAAACAGGTTTTTACAGTGGTCAATAGTTGGAAGGAATTAAGAAACTCATAACAATCACACCAGTGAGAACAATTCTATAGTGTTATAAAAATTTATTCAACTTTATCTTATTAGTTTAATGATGATCTTCGTAGGAACAGACTATAATGGCTGCTGCTGTTTATACAACATTGCCAGTAAACAAATACAAGCATAAAAATTTGTCTACATTTCCCTTATGATTAAGGATCTCATACTTCTACACATATGATCTAATTAAAGAACAGCAATAAACGAACAAAAATTAATAAAGAAACAAATTCATAATAATTGCTTTCACCTCTGCCTCAATATCTAAACGTGAATATAATTTTTTTAATAACAAAAGAAAGCCTCCAGAAGGCGCTCTACACATTGTAAAGATTTAATAGTACATTTGTAACAAAATAACAATAATTAAGCATGTACATATATGATCCATTGAAAAAGCTTTTTTTAATGTTAGTCCATCATTTTATGCTCTATGGTTTTGATGAACTTTATCGCCATTTCAAGTGTTTCCCGTACAAAGCATCCCCCACACCAGGGTTCTTTAAGCATCAATTATTACTTGACCTCCATGAAGCTCAATCCACAGTACCAAATGAAAAATGTATGTTGATTGCCCATACAAGGGCACGATGATGTCATATCACATCTATATTAGGGTGTAACGATGTCATATTTATCATATCCATATATGGGCAAATCACATGTACTTGTCACATACAATTTGACAGTGAGGAGGAATGAGCTGAGCAACTTGATTTGTGTATTGGTTTTGGTCTCCAGGAATTATTTTCAAAAATCCTACTCTAATGTGATTACAGTAATTCCTTATACATAACATCAATTAACAATTTGTGTAGGATACACCTGAATAGAAAATAAATGACGTAAGTAATAAGATGATTGGTGAGCATGTGCCAACTGACCAGAAAATAGATAAAATAAGTCCTTTAACTGATCAAAGCAAAGTTAAAAATTGTGTCATTAAGGATTCCTCATGTTAAATAAACATGAATTTACCTGCTGCTCATCCGATTTCGAACAGGCAATGAATAATTGTGCGATGATACAATATGATAATTGTCTATGAACAAAGATAAGCCAAATGTTAATGATTGGAAAAGATGATTCGGTTTATACATATTAAGTTAATATTCCATTAAGATAATCATCTATGGGAAAATTTTATCTCAACGTCGGAATCCCTTTCGACCAAATCCAAACTAATCTTTCATCTCCAGTCTTTACTCATTTTATTTTCTATTGTAGGGACGATTGGAAAAAAACAAGAAATAATAATTAACATGCTTATAACAACTATTTTTTTTCCCTAAACGCCATCACTCTTAAGAGCTTGACCAATTTTGTAGCCCGCAATTTTATTCCAGTCAATCTTTGTTCTTGTGACTGGTAGTTGCCGTCGGAGGGCCTTGAAGGTGGTGTCCGACATCTGGATGTAGTTCTCGCTTAAGGACTTCTGGTAGAATGTTTCTTCTTGCTCAATGATCTTCACACACTCCTTGGCAGTGCCTACTGGGTCCTGCAAATTAATTATATAAGTGTTATTCTATTTAGCCTTGCAACAACATTCAAGAAACAAGTTTTTACTAATAATACTGTAATAATAGTAAGAGTAGAATTTACAAAGCATCAGTAACATAAATATAAGTAAGCTGATGAATATAGATAGGTTGCTTAAACGGAAGTGCTTTGAAAGTAAGAAGCAAGATTTTGAACTTAATGCGGGAATCACTGAGAGCGACATTTTGTGAATGTTATAAATCCTGCAGCGGCGTTTCGAAGCCCATTGGAGTCTGTAAATTTGAGATTTATTACATTACCACTGATACAAAAGTAAATATGGGCTGATATATATTAATACTATCACCATTAAATCTATTTTAATCAAAGAAGCAGAACAATCAATTTCAATAAATATTATAATAAGAGTGTTAGGGTATGGAAATTAAATTTATTCATGGGAAGATATGTAAGTTATGGGCAAAGTGGGAGATATTAAAGCTATGTTCATTACAAAGGTAAAAATGAACTTAGAAAGCAGGAAGTTCAAGCAGAAAAAGGGAGTAAAAAAACAATAGTGTGGCAAATTTTTTCTCTGTCCACTGGAAATACTTTCCAGTGAACAGAGGAGTAGTTGATTATGTATCCAGTATAGAGAGCAAAAGTATAGAGACCTAAAGAATTCTAGGGCTATGAAATGATGGTTTAAGGAACTCATAGTAGCATGAACCCACAGGATTTATTGAGTACTTTCTAAAAACAATTGTATTTGTTAAAGCGGTTTGGCGCAGTGGAAATGTTTTGGTTTCTCAACGTTGAGAGCGGGGTTCAATCCTTTGGGCAAGGCACTTTATCTACATACTACACAGCCGTATAATGGGTAACCTGCAGTGGACCAGCGTCTTGGTGAAGGAGTGGTGCCAGGATTTGCCCAACGGGAGTCCAACTTTGCTGACAAGCGGGGAGGATGTCTCTGACGAAAAAAGTGGGTGTGGCCGTGAGTTATTTAAATCCTATAGAAAGTATTCCGTTGGGGATTGGGAATATGACAATTTAGAGGTTTCAAAGGCTTATTTAATCGATTTTAGAATCTACCAATATGTAGAAAATACACATTTTATTTCCCTGATGAATCGTGGTTTTTCTCCCCAATGGGGAGCCCCTGGCCACCCGCTGGTACCACCCCTGGTCCGGGGGGGGGGGGTTTATTTCCCTGATGAATCATGGTTTTTCTCCCCAATGGGGAATCCCCCAGACCTTCCATGGTCCAGGGAGAGCATTACACTCTCATTTGCTTTATGCTACAGAAACTGGGGATGAACTCCATTACCTATGGGCCCTAGTGGCTAGGCAGGAATTTACTTACTGTGACTACAAGTTCTTTCTTGACCTCCTTATGGCTGACCAGCTGGACATTTCCATCCTCATAGTAGTGTACCTGTGCTTTGAATAGTCCTTTGGCTTCACCTGATCCCTTGCTGGGATTAAATTTAACTGACCACTGGGATCTCCATCGTCCATTCCTGATGGTCAAAGAAAAATAGTCAAATATTTACTAATATATCATTAAAAAAATATTCAAAAACATGTATCCCATTCAACGTTCAAGTTTTTCATCAAACATCCATTCAATGTCTTAGATAAATCAGCTGTAGAAACAACTTTTTTTTCTTCCGGAGCCTGGCTTTAAGATATTGGAGAACATTTGTTAGAGGATTTTAACTAACAAACTAATGGATACTTGGAGAAAGTTTGTTAGAGTTTCAGTTTATTTTCCAAAAACTTCCATAATTTCATGTACCTGTACTGAACAATGGAAGGATGACCAACAAAAAATTTGAAAAATTAACTGGTAATAAATTATTTTTAAATTTATACATAAAAACACCTTTAGACAACTTTATGAATGTAATACACAGTTAAATTATTAAGACTGGCAAATCATGGTGGTGAATGTTCATGGAATTGTGAATTTGTACATAGACGCATTATGTGCTTTTACTTGCGATAAACAGTTAACAACAATTATTAAGATCAGCCCAAATCAAATTACAATAATTGGATATGAAGAAAAACTAAAGTCTTACAAAAAGATGATAAAACATTAACATGTAAGAATGGCTTTAGTCTGAAGAGAATACCAGAATATTTTGAAACTAAATTTGCAATGTAAGTTGTATGTTGATTTCAAGTTAAACATTCATCCATTATTAAATCAAGAAATTTGCAGCTAGTAACACGCAAAATATTATTACCATCAATAGCAATATTAAGGTCCTTGCAAGTACGGTAATACTATATCTATTTCTAAAAATCATATAGTTGGTTTTATTAACATTAAGTCTACTGTGCTACTTGGAGAACGTTTGTTAGAGGATTTCAACTGACAGACTAATGACAGTTCTGTGCTGCTTGGCAAACGTTTGTTAGAGGGTTTCAACTGACAGACTAATGACAGTTCTGTGCTGCTTGGCAAACGTTTGTTAGAGGATTTCAACTGACAGACTAATGACAGTTCTGTGCTGCTTGGCAAACGTTTGTTAGAGGGTTTCAACTGACAGACTAATGATAGTCAACTGTGCTACTTGGAGAACGTTTGTTAGAAGGTTTCAACTGACAGACGAATGATTTTATATTGTGCTACTTGGAGAACATTTGTTAGAGGATTTAAACTGATAGACTAATGATAGTCTACTGTGCTACCTGGAGAATGTTTGTAAGAGGGTTTCAACTGACAGACTAATGATGTCGTTTACTGTGCTACTTAGAGAACGTTCGTCAACTGACAGACTAATGACAGTATTGTGCTGCTTGGAGTACGTTTGCTAGAGGGTTTCAACTGACAGACTAATGACAGTCCATTGTGCTACTTGGAGAACGTTTGTTAGAGGATTTCAACTGACAGACAAATGACAGTCTACTGGGCATTCAAGTGAGAGTGAAGGAGGATGTTAAATCAACTACAAAAAGTAAGCATATCAACAAATTTGAATTATGGTACTTGTCCGTAAAATGAACTTGATTAAATGATAATGCAATAAAAAAGAACATACCAAAAATTGAATGGTTGAAACAGGTGGTGTTCTAGACATACAGTTAGAACGATGTCACTGCCAGAGCTTTCACCATAAACCTAGAAACAAACAAAAAAATGGACAATCATTTCAACATGTACACAAGGTTTATTTTCATCACTGGTTTGACTACTTGTACTCCAGCCCAACAGTAGTACACAATTCCCCTTTGTGGAAGAAAATATTATAACCAAGTCTTGAAAGACTGTATGCTGTTTTATTTTTTAATATTCTAGTCAAAGAGCATCATGGTGATGCCCTAATTAACCATCAATTATAGCATGGAATATATTTCATTTACAGCTGTGCATTCTTGTTGAAGTAGCTATAAGTACAGTAGCGTACTGTAAAATAAATAGAGAATCCAACACTTTGTTCATTGGGGGCACTATTCTAATGGCTATCTAGTTAGTAAACTAAATCACAATTGCTATGAAGAGATTGTTTGTTTTCATTCGGAAATCACTTAATATGAATATTTCACAGTGAGGTACAGATAATTTAGGCTTCTGTACAGTAATATTTCGTTGCAGAAAACAGTAAAACCCAAATCATATTTCATGACAAACTCGCATGATGGCAAGGCCTACCTACTGTAGCCCTGTGTACAGTACTATGTAGGATTAGGATTAGGCCTACACTCACCACCATAATGCTATGAAAATTCGGACTCTCCAAATTACAAACTTTCTCAATTTATGAACCCTGTTTGGACGGAGGTGTACGTAGTAACTGGGAGATGTTAAACAGGTACATTATAAATCATTTCTGTGTTCTGCTGCCCTCAGTACAGTAGTAAATTAACTACACTTCTGAAGTATTGAGTTGGAAATCAGAGCAAAAATTTAATGGCTGTGCCTAGGAAAAGAGCATATTATTACACAGAACGGCTGCAGCCTAATTCAATGGCACTGGTACAGACTAGAAAGGGTTGAAAATTGAATAATCTAATAGTAATTGCACTACATTTTACCTAGAAACCATACAACATTACAGGGGCTGATATTCCATTCTGATTTTACCATAAAACAGCTCTGTATTTAACAACCCCATAGAGGTTTCATTTTCTGTTTATATTATGTACTTGTTTTTGTAAATCAGTAATCTAAACACCTGTTTAGTACATCTAGATCATTCAGCAAAACACTTATAAATCATGCTCATTCATCATGTAACTCATAAAATATAAATATGCACAACCATAAAACATACAAACTATAATAATTTATAAATATTTGGATAGAAAGCAAAGGTCACAAGTTAAACAGAACAAATATATATGGCAAAGACAAGCTAAACCATTCACTCGTCGCAAATAGTGTTTCAGAGAAAATGGCCAAAAATATGCTGGAATGTCAAATTTTAAAAAATCTATTTTATTATACTAAACTAACCTTTACATATCTATACATTTTTAATGTTAAAACAACACTTTTTAAGGATTTAATGATCGTTTCTAAATGAGAAATGCCTGAAATCATAAACTTTGAAGGCTTATTACTCATACAGTATATTGTTCTTTAAACAGCTCTATGTTTAAACACTTGTAACTTCATAAGGAAATGTCCGATTTGAATGATTTTTTTACCATTTTATAGCTATTATTTTTAATACTCTCTAACAATGTATTAATAACTCAAAATCGATTTTTGCGACGAGTGACTGGTTTGGCTTGTCTTTGTCACATATACAGTATATTAATATACATTAGTAGATGTTTGTAACCATTACCAATCTATTAATTAAGTTGATTTTCTAAAAATTTAACTTTCATTTGTGCTTATACTTAATTTTTTTTTCCTCTTTTAATTTCCTTGTTCTTTGTAATTTTAATTTATATTTTTACTATAATGTGGACGTCTTCGCAGACCAATACATCAATCGTATTAAAAGACCATTCCAGAATAAAGAAGGATTTGTATTGTATTGTATTGTAATAGGTAATAGTTTCTGCTACAGAGATTGGCCCAATTTATAGAGGCTTTGTAATGAAAACAAATTATATTATTAAATATAAATTGCCCATTATAATGAAACAAACAATATATATAAAATAATTAATTCTTTTTCATGTGTTTAGTACACAGTTTGATGATTTTTGTTACACAAAATTGTCCTGCACCACTTTCCTTAATGCAGGGTTATAGTTCTAGGAAAATAAGGGTGAGTGATAAGACATTTTTAAGGGTGGGTAGGTGAAAACATTGGCAAACTCTAAATAATAAGAATGGATTTTAAGGATAGAAAAGTGGGTTAATAAGGGTGGGTGGAGGGCCATGAAATTAGCTTTAGACTGGGTGGAAAACTTTAAGGCTGGGTGGTCCCACCCACCTCCACCCACCAAAACTACAGTACATTCCTGATAATGGTGCATGGTCTCTAACTGCCATTTTGACATGATTAATGAAGCAAATTTTTTCAAGTAGATAACTAAGAAAAATGTCCTAATATGGCATTTAACCAGTCAAACAAAAGGGGACACAATGACTACTTGAGAGACACAATGACTGCTTCATATTGCTCTATTCCTATTGTTTAATAAAAAGTCTTTAATGAAAAAGCCCCATTGATCCTGTAGTCAGGTCAATTTATCTGTTTATTAAAAATAATCTTTTTATTTATTTTAATCATGGTGCCGCCATTGGAATCTATACGAAATCTTATATTCTTTACTTGCCATAATAAGATTAACAATTTTCAATCTTATTATCAATTTCATACAGCTGGTGTTATGTATTGACCTATGGCTAATGATGTACACTTTCAGCATTAAAGGCTTCTTCTACAAAGGGCATGACCTGTAAGAAGCACAAGCTCCTATAGACCAAACCCTGTACCGTTTCAATTTTAATCAGACGGGAAATTTACTCATGATCAATACTAATCATTTCTCTATTTGATTATAGAACTGTTTACATCACAGTATTTAGTCATGTGATAGGATCTTGAGCATGGGCCTAAATGGCATCCTTCTAATATTTTTTATATTTTAGTATTACTCTATTCACCCAGAATATATTGAGAGAAATTAGAACCATTTTGCATAATGACAAAACAAAATTATATTTATTTGTCCACCCTCCTGAAGATCTTTTTCTGCTTTATCTCTGTTCCTGAAAGAGTTATAGAGTCCTATGGAACTGACAGTTTTAAAATTAATGGTTTTTTTAATTTTTTATTTTGTGATATCATGGCATAGACACAATGCATTATATACACTACACAAGTCCCCACCAATTAGGACAGACTAACAAACTTCTCGAATGCTAATATTGATGATTTCAAATATTAAAAAATAGAACTTTATTTTTGGCCAATGAGCGCACTCACCGCCACGAAAAAATGGAAATTTCAGAAAAAAAAAAAAAAGTTTTTCTTTATTTTTATTACGTCCTCCGCTGCCTTGAAATCTCCAAAGGTAAGATATTTATATTTCCTTTTAATTATATAAATTTGAAGCATTTAACCATCCCATTTTAAATTCACCAAAAATATTTTATTTTTATTTGCTAATCCGTCTGGATGTTTTTGGCTAAACTATTTGCTAAATAAGAAAACAAAGTATAATTTTTATTTTTATTCCGCCCACCAACGATGATCTCAAAAAACATAAGTATGCGAAAAAAGGCATAAAAAAGTCTTGTCTTACCTAGGAAAAATATAATTTACAAGGCTTTTAAAAAACAAGACTTGCCTAATGTTAACAAAATATAATTTCTAGAAATTTCCAATAATCAAAAAGTCCCAAAAAGGCAAAATTATTCCAATGAGCATCTTACAAACTTGCAATTCTCTACTTCATTATATATTTAGGAATTCCTAGCAATGTTAGGTGCAAATTACAATGCAAAGCTGAGTGAATATCAACACATTCTATATAAGGACATCATTTATGGTACACAATTGGAACTATATAAGCTACGGCCTGTCAATAACTTAGATCATATCCTAAAATGTCTGGGTGACCTTCAAAAATGACCTTTTATAGACTTTGGATCATGTCAATAAATCGTTAAACAATATGCTAATACTATGAGCAATTGGACACATCAAAAGTACATACACTGTAGAGTACTGTAGTTTGTACAGCTATAAGAAACTATGCTTCAATAGCAATAATATTCTTATAGGCCAAATAAAATTAATTCCTGGTTTCACAACTCCACCCCCATCAATTCGTGGGCCTCATGGATTTCTTTTACTACTCAATGAAACCAAAATTGCTTTCGATCAAACACTCGATGATTGTGAAATTAGTGCCTGGATTGATAGACAACTATACCATACAATGTTAATTTTCGTGCTTCTTTTTAATAAACTCGGTGTATTGTTGACCAGTCTTTTGCTTGTCAACAAAATAGCAAATAGCAAAATAATAAGCCCCTCACCGGAAAACAATTTCTAATACCCAACGGAAAACTAACAATAAATTTTACTTGGCCTTATGCCATTTTAATGAGACTTTTGAGCATTGTTTTCATATCATTTTAATGTAAACACTTAAAAGTTTTTTTTTATTCTGATTCTGTACCATATTAATGTGAATTTTTTACGCATTGCATTTGTTATAATTTTCATGTTAAATATTGTATCAATTCAGCTTTCTTCTGCAACTGAAATATCGTGAAATTTAACCTCACAATCATAATCTCATCGAATTATTGAGACATATAAATATTTAGTTCTTTCCAATTCTGAAACATAGTACAGTAGCAATACTACTACTACTACACAAATAATAAACATAGTTTGCAAAAATATCAGCCTGATAGAATGAAAAGATAGGCTGCGCACCTCTTCTGTGTTTAAAAATATTATTTTAATCTGACCAACTGAGGTATAGAGATATATACAGTATTTGTATGTCAATAAGAATCACTCATACCTTTATTATGGTGCTCATATATCATCATTACTCGAATAAATATACTTTTAAATAACAGAAAATAGATACAAAATGGCCAACTTACAGTACAAACTCCATTTTGGTAATGAGCCTGTATATATGTCCTAAATGCAGTTTCGAGAGCACTTCGCCACTTCTCTGCCGTCTGGTCGATGTTCTGTGCTGCTTCTATATTTGATGCCTCTTTCTTCAGGTGGTCATATTTGAAGGTTGTTTTAGACGAAGGATCAAAGAACCTATTATTGTTCCTCATGTCACCAAATTCTGTGATCAGTACCTACCCATAAAAATAATACATGAACAACCATGATACAGTTAAAATATATAGTAACTGTATGTAGAAAAACATTAAAGTGTTTTTGTTTTATTTATTTGTTATTTGATATTCATATAGTGCCTTTCCTTTAGGTTAAAAGAGTTTTGTTTTCCGTTGTCACTGGGACCACAAGCTTAAGTAAGGAGGGGGGCTTCTTTTCAAAATTAATGCTGTAAACTTTGTGAATTTGTATTATAAAGCAATAAATAAGGCCCCTGTAACATCAACCTATATCATGGAGTGTATTTAACTGGCATTAAATCACTTAAACTACTGTATAAACCAAGCTTGTATTTAGTTTATTTTGTTTTCTGAAATTCATGTAAAGTTTATGTACTGTACTATCTTGAAAAGAAGCCTATGCTGTCTTGAAAAGCAGCTCATGGGCTTCTTTTCGAGGCTAATTTTGCAAACTAAAGAGGGGGTTCAATTCGAGATGGTCTTCATCTCGAGATTAAGCCCACTGGGCTTTAATTCGATGTTTTACGGTATTCCCACTGCGCAAAACTACTTCCACATGGCAAACCAAGTTGGTAGGCCTGGTGTAAACGTGCACACACAAGAGCGTTTTTGAGACAACATGAGTGCTTGTGGGAAATGTACACGTTCCTGACCTCCTACTGATTGGTTAGTTGTGAAGTTTTATGGACACTCCATATATAGGTCCATTACCATTCACTTGAAATTTACTATATCACTGACTTAATTGTTTGAGAGTGAAAAATACGACTTTATTTAATTATGTAACAATTAAATTTAAAATGTTTTGAAAGCAAATCAAAGAAAGTTTGATTGACATTCAGGAAGATCAATTATTATCAACTGAAACCTGCTAAATCACTTTAACAATTGCAATTGTAAACATGAGTAAAATAAAATATTTGTATTTTTATTTAGTTAAAATATATAATGTTTTAAATAAATCAAAGAAGGAAAGGTCATTGACTTGACCTACCTCATGTTCTTGACCCTCTAATTTGCATGGAGTGAATTGTTCCTTGTTCTGGTGTGCGAACGCTCTAAAAGAAAGTAAAATAGTAAATATATTGTCACTCAAATCACAAACCCCCACACAATAAAGGTAGATTGTGTTAGTTCGTGAAAACAAAAAAGCGTGTTAAAATTATGTGCTGTTGTTGTTACAACGTTTTGTGTTGTAAAGAATAGAAAATTTCAAGAAAACCAATACTGGTTTATTTTGATGCAATTTTTGGTTCTTACAAGCTAACACATTCTAATTTCATTGTGTGAACTTGTGATGTGGGTGACAAAATAAGGCAAGCCTCTTTTTATACGATAACGGTGATTAAAAAAAAAATTACCCAATTAATGCACCCTCTGTGGATTGCTTGGAAATTTAAGTAAAAAAATAATTTTTATCTATAGTTATTACGCCCGCCGCCGCTTTGAAATCCCTGAAAATGATAAATCTATCTTTCTTAGTTTAAATTAATTTAAAGCATTTATCATGCACATTTCTCTGCAGGCATGAGGGATTTTCATATTTTTCACTTGTCCCTGGAAAAGTACCTTTGAAAAATGCACTTGTCCGGAAGATAATTTTACTTGTCCCAATATTACTGCGCAATAATCATAAAAAAATAACACAAAAGTAAAGTAATTTTGCTTTGGCCCTACAACATTAATAGGCCTACATGCATAGTGCATTGATCACGCAAAAATGTTTTTCTTTCTTTTTTTAATTTGCAAGAATTTTAATAATGTATAATATGGAGAAATTCAAATAAAATAAACATTGTTAATAATATTCTATGTATGTAGGAGTGTGTTGATCGTTTTTTTTATTGTGTGTTTAAAAGCCATTGTCATGACAACTGCATTGGCAAGTAAACATTTCTCAGGCGTTGGTTGATTCCCACGATATACGAGTTCTCAGTCACATGTTGAGAGGACTGTGTTTTATGACATTATTTGGGGGTGGGGGGAGTTGTCATATTGTATATTTGTACCCTTTTGCAGATCTTAATCAACTCTTATACTAACTTCAAATGTATTTTTCTATTTTTGCAGATGCTACAAACAAACTAATTCAAATCCTAATTAAACTACCCTTTCTTATAGTCTGTCTAGACTGTCTTCCACTGCACATGCAAACGAAATAGACTAGGCTTTTTTTGAAATCGGCCTAATAGCTGCTGTTCATATTCACTCGAAAGTAATTACTAGTCTTGAAGTCCAGACATTTCATGTCGTCCAACCCAACTAATGGCTGTGCGCCCAAAGTCTTTAAATATGTCTGGTATTTATAGATTACAGTAGGCCAGTGCGAATTTATATTGTAAACAGACCATGTGCAGCAGGCCTAGATGGCTGATGGCTAACAAGTTTGATATTGTGTGAAAATATGTACTTGCTGTAGGTTTAATATGTACACATACCACAGAGCTGGCTAACATCTAACAATTAAGAATTAATTATCAATCTTTACTGCAGAAAATAACAATTTTATATTGAGTAGGCCTACATTTTTTCTTTTAAACTAACAATAAATCGTGTGAGTGTTGGCGACTCTAAGTTGGTGCACACAGTGCGGTCCGTAACAACGGCATAGTCGGTTTTCTGTTTGATATCTCTTTGTGCGCCGACAATTTGTTAATAAGATACTGTATGCTGCGTACTGTCCAGAGTCAGACTTTTTATAAGTACTATGAAAGCATTGGTGAAGTAGCCTATTCTAAAAGTGCTTGTCCACGAATAAGTGGTCCCTAAAATTCTTGTGCAAACGTAAAAAACACTTGTCCCGGGCATCGGGCAAGTGGGTTCGCTCATGCTTGCTCTGTAAATAGCATTAATTTTTTTTTAACCTCACACTTTTTTTTATGCAGTTAAAATCGACTTCACCTAACTTCAATAATTTTTAAGTCAATCTCATTTTACATGCCAAATTGTTGTGCCTCGAGGTTGGTTTCAACGGGAGGCGCTATATACAAATCACATATTATTATTATTATTTTCCAGCAATTAACAATCTGTAAGTCAAAGTTTATCAAAGTCAAACAATTTTTCAATACCATTTTGGATTCGACTTAGGCAAGTTCAACTGTACATCAATAAAAAAAATTTTATGTTTTATTTTCTCCTCCACCTCGATGCTTTTTTAAAATTTATTTATTAAAAATTTATCACGATATATATATAGATATATATTGACCAGGGAGTTTCAGCAATACCATTTTGCTAAATAAGAAAACAAAAGTAAACAGTGCACTCTATTGGTAACATTAATAATATATTTAACTGCAAAAAAACAGTCCCCGATTTGGATTAGATTTGATACTAAACAAGTTGATTTTCCTCCTTATGTTTCCTTATATCCTTGTATTTCCTTAAATTAAAATTTTTGTAAAAAACATTCGAAAAAATAGGGCGGCAGTGAAGGGCAAACAAACAACTGTTTTTAGACCTTATCTGAATGCAATTGTACTTACTCAGCTCCTTTCTCCTTAAGCAGTTTATCATTATCCAAAAGGATCCTTACATCTGGAAGAAAGCATTAAGAAAACAAATGACTTCAGGTTAAATAATGCAAATGTAATATGTGATTCATAGTATCATACATGACAAAATTCTAGACAGGTCGTATGTTAATGACATACAAGTTTATCAAAAAAATTCTACCAAAACCACCAGGTTATCTTCACACTTGTGAATATAAAGGGTGCAAAAACATTTGTTAACAGATGCAAAGTAGCTTCCTAAATTTTTAGTTGCACAAAACCAGACATGCCAACCCATACAAGACCAACAAGAGGAGTCTGATAAAAACCTCTGAGCGGAGTTTTGGCAATGTGAGAGGAGTATTCCTAAGACATTGTACCAATGTGATCGGATTGTAAAAAATGTAACTGTTTTTACTCACAACAGCAATATCGCCATGCAAGACTAGGCCCTAGGGCTAGGCCGAAAATCAACACCACACCAAACACAACGAGCGCACTGTAGGCATCACCTACAGTACTTTTGATTTCAAACTGACAGGATACTTTTCGTTATTAACTTGCATGTTTGCGTGTGTTTTAGCTTCTTTTTTTGGAGGTACTGCTTAGGCCTACATCCATATCGCTCTTATCGGACTCCATTTTTGAAATCGTGCTTTACTTAGTTACTAGACTATTGTTGTTACAAAATCAGTAGACCATGGATCACTATACAGTTCAGAGTGCAGTGCAACTCTGACATCAATTTGGCCAATGAAATTTATTTTTTTAAATCGGTAGGCCGTGGAGCACGAATTAATTTTTCGTATTCAGAGTGCAACTCTGACATCGATTTGGTCAATGAAATTGGTTTTTTTTTTTTCGAAATCAGTAGTCTGTAGAGCGCGAATTACTGTTTCGTATACAGTTCAGAGCGCTTTTTCAGGACGAAATTAAGTGGTCTTGTTCATATCTAAATCATAGGATTATTATTTTTATTCGGAAATGCACGATTTATTTCAGTTGGCCAAAATGCGTAAAAAAGCAGAGTTTTTCAAACCAAATTCCGAGTGCGGAGTTTTGCTTTAATAAACGGAGTAACTCCGCCGAAATTGGAGTGGTTGGCATGTCTGCAAAACCAATGTAAATCTTAGTGGTTACAACTGTGATAGGCTCAGGCTCATATAACAGTAAATTGATTCTTAAAATCATTAGTGAATGTACTTCTAACTTCTTATATCCTTTTCACACTAAGTTACAGAAATTTAGCTTTCAACAATTAGTGACAAGTTGAACAACTTTGATCTCCCAAGATATTTTCTTCGTTTAACACACACACAGTAATTCCAAATGATGTAAAATAGCAGTATTTTGTTTTCCATTGTCTGATGGCAGTAAGAACGTATGCGAACTCAATAACTTGGGACATCTCGGAAGAAAAAACAGGCCTCGAGGAAGCCTGTTTTTCAATCCCCCTTCCACCGAAATATCACAGTCATCCCCTGTGATATTTTACATGAATATGCTTTGACACTACACAAACTTGGATACAACTTGTTATTCAGTGTGAAAAGGGTATCATACAGTAAACAATAATTTCTTCTAAGTCAATATTAACAGATGTCTGAAAGGAAATATTCACAATAATGACAAATCAAGAAAAAAAAAATACTTACCATTAAAAACTTCATTAAATTCACCAGGTGGGGCATATTTAATGAAGTTCTTTACAATTCGAGTCTAAAAAACAAGAAAATGTAAACAAAATTAAATTAATAGTTACTGTCAATAGAGCAATAATAATTAATCTTGCTGTAGTCGAACAGTAGGCTTATTTCTAAAATACAAATAAGAAAGATTTGCTTTGTGTGTGTTTTGAAAATGATGATGATATTTTATTATCACTGGAATTTAATATTATTTCATCATCATTTATATTCAATTAATCATACCTTTATAAGGCCAAATAAAATTATTGTTAGGATTTGATATAAATTTTAGGTGAGTGTATTTATTATTTGCTATTTACTATCCTACTGTATATACCTAGTAAATTATAAAAATTGTTTTATAAAAGTAATAATGAACCTTTGTAATAATATTTTCAAAATAAAATAATGGGTTTTTTTTAAAATAGCAAATAGGTGAGGAAATTTTATCATGAGGCTCTAAAATTTCATGAGGGCAAGGAGATGAAAACTAGCAATTAGTTTTATTTGGCCTAATCAACTACATTCAATTATTATTTGCGTGGAGTGGCTTTCAGAAAAAACAAGATTTTAGTCATCCTTTTTTCTGATACCAAGGTAGACAATAGAGAGAAAGGATACACCAACATTTGTTTCCATTTAGTCTTAAAAACAAATAATCTGCATACTTTGGCTACCAAATGGAATGTTATGTCTATTTCAAGTCAATGGAAAGTCAATATGGTTAGACATTGGATACACAAGTTATAATTTTATTTTGCAATATATATACTGTATATATATTACATGTAGGCCTAGTATGGTATAGGCCTAGGCTACGTAGGCTACTTTTACTGCAGCAGACTTCATAGTTACCAACCGTCTTGCATAGTGTGGGACGGTCCCGCATTTTAAAGTGATTTTGGATGAAACACGCATTTTGCAGAAACATATGCGTGATCATAAATTTGTCCCGCATTTAGCACAAGTCTAAGCGTGATAACGAATTATCACAAATTCAGGGGGAAAATCTATTTAAAATTAGAAGAAATTGGTTTTATTAAAAATATGAAAATGGTGACGGGCTTTGGTTATCGTTCCAGAATCAAATTGCCAAGAAAATCTCTCTTTTCTAACCAACCAAGCAAGTCAACTCAGCCAAACACGCACATCATAGTTGAATCTGAGAGGTGTGTGCGGTCTTGCGTGTTCATTGTCACAAATTGTTGATTGTGACTGAAGCCAGGACCCACACCAGGGCTCGGCCAGTGGACCACGGCAGAGGTCCTGGTGTCCCCCAGCCAACCCCCCAACCCCAGCTAACTGGTGGTCACGTATTTCAAATCTCTCAGGTTGGTAACTAAGAGACTTTGTATATTTATACTACCTTCTTGGTAGTAATATGTGTATTGATTGCAATAATTCTTATTGCTAGAATAATTTAGCCAGTAGAGCTGCAAAGAGGCTAAGATTGAAGGTAGGCTTGGTCTTCTTGAGCAAGCAGACGACTGACGGTGGCGATGCACCGATCTTGATCGCATTCTGTCTGTGCAGTCCCGATGAGAAACAGGAAGTGAACAACCGGGCCTTCACACTTGTTCAACTCGTCGCAGTTTTTCAATTCATACACACATTCATACAGTAATATTAACGCTGAAATAACAATAAACGTCGACTTAAATCCTACATTAAAATAATATTATTATAAACTTACTTTTTCTTCGTCTGAAATTGTATACGCATTCGCCATTGCTTATTACTTGGCAATCAGAAGTTTTGGCCTAAATTACTTTCTCATATGACACACGCCTTGAAAACAGGATTATGGGAATAATTAGCGCCACCAACTTACAAATTGTGTAAAATTTTCACTATTTTGGTTCTACATTTTTCGTTTTTTTATCGCAATAAATTTTTATTTTTTGGTTTTAATTTAGCATGATTAAGTTATCTAAGCTGATAAGAAAGTTTTGAATGTTCTGAATATTTTCTGGTCAAAAGTCGACATCAGAAATTTAGGAATAGGAGCTTACTCAATTAATAATAAACAACAAAAATGGCCGCCTCCTTGAAATATGGCACAGTAATTATTATTCTAAATTGAGCAGCGATTCTCCTGTAAAATGAGCGCAGACGAATGTCATACCCAGTCGGTAGGTAAAGTGAATTTAGTAGAGCTTGCAACGGGCCTCCTCATTTTGGGAAAATTTGATGAAGTATATAAATTATGCCAGAAAGGGTTAGCGAAGTGTGTAGCTGTAACAACCACATTAGAAGAAGCCGGGTGCGGGAGCAAGAATGGGATTGGAAACGCCCATCATCACCTGGACGAAGAGAATGAGGCCTCCTGTAGAAACTCGCACATTGAAAAGCGTAAACATCGGCAAAAGAAACCTCATTTTTCGTAAGTTTAATCTGACCATATATTTGTTTTATTTGGTATAACTATAATGCAAACAATTATATATTATTATTATTTATTTTTTGACACTTCACCTTTATATAGTAATAAATATAAAAATATATAGCCTAGGTATTTATGCAATAGTTATGTATGAATAAAAATCAAGGTTCCCCCCCCCCCATTATCTGCTGGACTGATTGTATTGTATGTAATTATGTTAATTAGTGATATACCCCAATCTAGGTTTTTAATTTTAATGTTTAATTTAATATAATTTTGATGTAAAATTTAGGACCACATTGATGAGGGCCAGCAATATGGTAGTTATTTTACATAGGGTAGTCAGAATACGCTTTGAATTGATTTAATTTTTTAATAGGACACTGTTATGTCATTTATTATTTACAAAATTATTTAAAAAATTTTTTTAATTTGATTGTGCGTTTAATTTATATAATTTTTATAATAACTGTAGACAATTTAATGATTTCTTGTTGTTTTCCATATTATCTTTTACTAATTTTTTAGGGACCTGATGAAAGAATGCCTGTGTATCATCGCTGTGCAGGCTTTGGCGGAGATGAATCGCTGGCAGGATGTTTTGCCGTTCCTTCAAAGTCAGTACGGTCCAGTGCAACAGCTACCTGCCAAACTAGTGCAATTGTGGTAGGAACAAAAATTGTCAGGTTCCATCTGTTACATTATAATTTGCATAATAATCTTGATGCTTTTTCAGAATGATATGGTAATGATAGAAATTTGTAGAGCGTGTCCACAATAAAATTTTCTCAAGGTGTTAACAGTGTCAGACAACGAATCATGTTGAAAAATTGAAAAAAAAATAAAATAAATAGAATAAACATAAATTAAACAAACAAGTCGTTCAGGTAAGTGATACAGGGCCAAAAATGGCTGCATATACATGTTGAGCTGTCTCTATTTGAATGATGAGTGCAGTTTCTAATGTCTTCCATTGTCTATGGACAATGAAACTTGTATAATTATTAATGTCATACCACAAACCATAATTAATAAAAATGGTTACATGTTTAATTGTTAAATATTCTTCTTCTCTAGTATGTTGCTTCATGTTCATATTAATAAACATCAGGAAGCTGAGGTGCTTTATAAGCAATATTCAACTCTATCAACTAAAAAAATATCGTCTGAGCAACACACTCAACTTACTGAATTATTATTCTCCCATGTACTATTTCCACAAGAAAAATGGACTGAAGCAGCCAAAGTTATAGAAAGCGATTGTATCTTACGAACTGATAAAAAGTTAGCTTTGCTAAAAGTACTTAAAGAAAAGGAAAGATGTCAAAAAAGAGAAAGTGGGAGTATTGTTAGCCAAAGTATTGTTGAAGATACAGAACCAATGCGAGAAAATAGGCAAGGTAAGGCTTGTGATTGGAGTTACAGTATTTTTTTTGTCGAGAGAACTCGTACCAGAATTAGAAGGCAAGCATCTCTCTATGCAACCTCTTCACGAAATCTTTTGTATCTTTTATACCTTACAACTCTTTACTTTTCTGAAATCTTTCTTTGACACTCAGGGGTAGATCTGGGGGCTAGGGCCTTGCACAAAAAGAAAAATGAGAAGAAAAGAAAAGAGAAAGAAGGGAACGTGGTACCGTATACCTACTTCAAAACAAGCTAATTGTTTATTTAAAATCCATGTATATTCAAGCATTTCTAAACAAGAGTCTCAAACACCTCCACCCTTCCCCTCCCTCACTTTGGTACTTTGCATGTTGCATGGCCCCTACCCAGATTTTTGGTCTGGATCTACTCCAGACTCACCCATCATTGCACAATTTTCTCTGATTAAATGAATGCAAATTATAGAAAATTTACCTTAATTCATTATTGCTGTTTCGATAATTGGAATTATCATTGCTGTATGATTTTGTTATAGGAAATGTATTGTTTCTAATGGCATCAAAAGTGAGTCTGTTCTTCTATCGCTGGATACCAAAAACTTATTGGAATCATCTCAGTAGTCTTGCCATGGTTGGTATATGTACTTACCTCGTTCTACGTCATAATTCAGGTGTGTTATAATCGGGTACATTGGTTATGCTATCATTTATATCACATTTTAAATAAACTAATACCATTTAATATTAATACTGTATCATCTTGTATAATATCTTCATTAAGATAAATTGAAGTTTGGTATTATGGGGCAGATGCAGTGGGGGTGGGGAAGGGGTGCAGATGGGGCAGAAAAATAATTGTATTGAATTTTTGATATATTATTTTTATTATTGAAAATATAGTACAGTACCGGTAAGATTTTAAAAGTATAAGAGTGCAATTTCCGGGCACCTTGAGTTCCATATTATAAAAATGTTCTCATCTCAGCCCAACCATGGTGGTGGCTGAGGTGGTGTGGATTCGCACCCCTACCACCAAATCCTGCATCCGCCCCAGCTATTGAAGAGCGTGAATGGGTAAAGTAATCATGAATTAAATGAGGTACAGTAAATAATAAAACAAATATTTGAGGAAATTTACCACAAGAGAAAGTGGTACAATAACAGCAATAGAGGGAGTGGGGGAGGGGGTGATAAAATCCCCAGTGATATTTTTTCATCTTGTACATCTGTTTAATTTTAATTTTTTGTTTGTCATGATTCCTTTCTCCATTCAGCTAATTCGTCGATGGGCTGACATGCCTTATAGACTGATCTCGTATCATGGTTAGTTAATCGATAATTGATGAAACTTATTCATTTGCACATACTATAATTAGCATGAAATTTAATATTGCCTGCATGCAGTTTGCTTAAGTTGACATCACAGTACAGAGTACTTCTATTATTTGATATTAGGCGAGACTTTCTTTATACCTTGTTTCGTGAATCTACCGCCTGCCAATATTGATGATTTCGAATAAAAATGCAATGATATTTTTGGCCAATTTGTGCACCTGCTGGAAATTTCAGGAAAAAATATTAAAGGTTATTTTAATTGTTATTATGCCCATTGCTGCCTTAAAATCTCCAATAATATTAAGATATGTATATTTCTTCCTAATTATATAAATTTAAAGCATTTAACCATCCCATTGCTACACTGTTCTACATTCAACATTAAAATTTATTTTTATTCTCTCCTTTGTCTGGATGCTTTTGGCAAAAGCATATTTCTAAATAAGAAAATTAAATTTTATTTTAATGTTTTTCGATCCCCCCTCTGACGATCTTTAAAAAAAATAAGTTTGCGAAACAAAGTATAAAAAAAGTCTTGCCTTATTAAAATCACATCAGTGCCGGAATATGCGCATGTACCATAAACACACATAGCCCACAAATGTATATGTTTATGTACATTTTATGCTATTGTTTTGTGGGACCTTAGCAAGAATATTAATGGGCATGGCTTAGGGGAAAGGTTCATTTAACATCAGAGTCAGCCATTTATGCCTAATTTATAGGGTTTTTTTTTTTTAAGCATTACTCACCCAGTGTAGATTGGTTGTTATATTGTAACCACAGTGCTTAAAACCAAATTAACTTATTTACAGTATGCTTGAACTGAAGTGTGCCCTTTAAAAAAAAATACAAATACAAATAATCAAAGAAAAAAAGACACTACATTTTCAAAATATTGGGTTGGTCATGTATTGGTAACTCAAACATTTTTGGCTTTAATATTATGTTTACTGTTTTATCAATATGTATTTATTAATTTAAATTTCCTTGTTTTACCAGTAGTAGAGTAGTGTAAATAGGTTTGACCTATACCCTCCTATTTTTTGCCTATTTTAGTTTATTATAATGCTTGGTATTCTATGTGCTATAAAAAATGCCACTACATTACAAGAATAGACCTACACAACCACTCGCTTTATTTATTTGATAGGAAGACATTTATTTTGCAAAGCATAATAGCATGGATATGATAGAGCTTACCAGCTGTGTTATATAAAAGTCAATATTTTAATTGCCTTGTATAGCTAGTAACTATTACAAGAAAATTTTGTTATCAGCAACTAACAGACACAGAAATAATACCATGCTTATATTTTTTTGTGTATACTATACTTAAATTGGCAGGGATATCAATGTAAGCATGATTTAAGAATGTTTTTTTTTTTTTTTTTGCTTTGAACTATGAGTAAATCAATAGTAGGAGTGATGTTTTGCCCTACCCGACGTATTATCATACCAAATACTCAGTACGTCACTCCTATAATATTTTCCTGACGCAAACTCGCGTCGCTAATCAATAGTGTAATGCATTTTTTATATTGATTTTTTTACATTTTTACCAGATTTTATCACAGACTATAAAGTACAACTTTCAAATAAACTCTTCCTTTAAAAAACAGTAGTCCAAACTTTAGAAAAAAAAATTGTAAAAATAGATTTCAGTAATTATTTTTAATACTTGATGCATTTTTCAATAAAAAAGTAGTTCTCATTTTAACAATTTTGCTTTATGAGTTTTTTTTTCCATAAAACTAAATATATTTATGTTCAGAAATTTATTGTTGTGTTGTGTTTAGTCATGCATATGCCCACATAGTGGTTCATCTCAAATATAATTTAAATTTATCTTTTTTGTGTTCAAATGTAAGGCAAATTTACAAACGTTGTTGGTTATTTTGTATCTTTGTGTGCATTTTCTGGATATTTCAAAATAAATCAAATCAAATCATCCTGATCATAATAAAGGCAAGTCACATGTTTTTGTCAAATAAATTTAATAGCCTGGACACAACATAACATATGCATTTGTTTGAATATTGTAAATTTGTTTATTTCTCAGATATATCGTCATGGCAATCCTACACAGCAGCGTTATGGTTGAGCATCACAAGACTTTGGCAGAACATGTTCTCAGCATATTACAAAATGATTATTCGTTGATACCACAAATGCAGCCATCCTTGTGGAGGCTGTTGCAATAAATCTGGAAGGTTAATCCCTACGCTATTTTTAATTGCTCTCTCGCTAGATATTGCATAAAAAGACACACATACAGTGTATACTGTTGACATCCGGTCACTTCAAATTATAAAACAACTTATCTTAAAACCAACTCGTATCAAAGCCAAGGATGAATTGGGGTGGGGGAACAAAATGATGTGGTGTCAACTTGTGATATGTACTTTAAGCAAAATTAAGGAGGGCATGCTTAAACCCGTCGCTTGGACCAAGTTCTTCCTGGTTTTATCAATCAATGTAAACAGTTCTGTTATTGAGCTTTTAATAGTTTATTTTAATTTTAATTACTGTAAGTGTATACCATCAGAACGAAGTTCTGAACACACCTAATGTTGCTGACAATTGTTTATATATTGGCAATTACAATGATGTAAATCTTTCACTGTATAAACAGTCCTCAATTTGAGACCCTACACTCGTTTTAGTATAAAAACGTTGGCTACAATTTTTCTGTTCAACTTACTACCTGCACCAGCCAAATATTAGAAATCCTTTTTTTTTTTTACTAAATACCCAATTAATGTGGGGACATTGTTCTTCCTTGGGGGGTTCAAGATATACTTTTAAATTACATGAAAATACAAAATTTATATAAAGAATTTAAATACAAGTGGATTTTGAAAAGATTGCAAACTAAGAGAATGTATTGTGCTGCGAATATTTGACGGTAGATTTTTTCTAAGTTCGACAGAACGATATTTAAGTCTTTTTTTTTTTATATTGTATGCAAGATTATTCAATAGAGTTACAGCCATGTAGGAAAAAAACTGATTCCCGTAAAAATATATTTATTTTATCAAGAAAAAGAAAATCTGTAAAATGGCGTAAAAACGAACAGATCCTGCAAGTGCACCTGTCTTAATATGGTGCAATCGTTTATGGTGCTTTTGATTGGTTGAAAGATTCTTAATTATTTTAATTGGTGGCTAGGTTGGATACACTTGATTTGTTCTATCAATCTCCATCAGTTCTGACTTCAGAAAATATATATATTTGTTTTCTGCAATAAAGATTATGTCAATGAGTGTGCAACTATAATGTGGTTATCAATTATTTCTCAACAAGTTGTATTTTATTCCATAGGCGCGACTTTTTTTATACCTTGTTTCGCGAACTTGATTGTTTTTTGAAGATTGTCAGGATAAAATTTAAAAAATACGGTATGTTATTGGTAAATGTAAACAGTGAAGTTATAGGATGGTTAAATGCTTTAAATTTCTGTAATTAGGAAGACATATACATAACTTATTTTTGGAGATTTCAAGGCAGCAGCAGGCGTAATAAAAATAAAGAAAAACTTTCGTTTTTTTCTGAAATTTCCATTTTTTCCTGGCAGTTGGTGCACTAATTGGCCAAAAATAAGATTTTATTTTTTTTCGAAATTATCATTATTGACAATGTTTTGATGATAGCGTTTTATCTATGGTACTTAGCTCTTCCAGAGGATGAAAGTACAGAATTGTTCATTTTCTAATTATTCTCAGTATACTGTACTTGCACTGGGACATTCTAGTAATGAATTGGGCAGGACTCCTACCTTCACAATCAGCACACACACAATATCTACCACCAGTTTAGCCAACACATACAGTGCTGCATTCCAAATAACATAACTGGGTACAATAAAGTCTAAAGCAACAGAAGCAGGATTCCACAATATTTGTAAAACGTCGAACCTGTCGCTCATCGAAAATTGTGTTTCGGAGATAACGGCCAAAACATGATGGAATGTCTTTATATATCTCTATACATCATGCAACGTTACTTTCCTCAATTTCAAAGTTAAAATAATATTTTTTAATGATAATGATTTGCTAATGGTCTCTGCCTGTGAAATGTCTTGTAAACTTGAAGATTGATTTCTCAAACACTCTTCTTTAAACAGCTGTACATTTAAACTCCTGTAACTTCATAATGGAATGTCAGACTTAAATGATTCTATTATCATTTTAATAACTTTCATTTTACTGTTTAATACTGTACTAATAACTAAAAATTTTATTTATTTATTTATTTTTTTTTTTTTGGCATGGACTGGTTTGCTCGTCTCTGCCACATTTTATAAAGTACAATATAAATAAAGACAACAATCACACCAGAAATAACTGCCATTAAAATATCATGCATTTATTTTACTGTACAGAATTTTATTACCATCACAATTCCTTCTTATTGTGGAAACTAGCTACAGGCTAGGATAAGGATTTTTCACTTAAAAACTTTAGAATTATTAATCACTGTCAGTGAAATGACTGTTTTTTTTACATTACTGCAATTCACAGAAAATATTGAGTGTTGTGAATTAGATCATGGTTTGCATTATTTTTAAACATCTGGAATACTATTTGGTGGTTTTTATCTTACTCAAAATTTTTTTACTTGTTTAAAATTATAAGGGTAAATTTTAAATAAAAGTGCTTTTGGTTAAAAAAAGAAAACAATTATATTATTTTAAATTTTTTTAAAACAATGGAAATATAAATTTCTGTTACTGAAGTTTATGCAACTTATTGTAAAATGGTCCATTGAGTGGGCCAAATCTTAGATGTTAAACGTCAGTAATCCAATGATGCTTTTCTAAAATTGATAAAATTAGTTAAATTGACTGATGAAATAAGGATAAAACAGTTTTTAAAAGCACCGCTGGAAATTGTGACAGGCCCACACTAGGTACACTTAAAAGAACATATTTCAGATAATTTTTAAACAGCTTGCAGCATTTGGTATTTTTATCATCTCCACACCTGTTTAAACAAAGGAAAAACTATATTACCACTGTCCCAACTGAACTTTTTCTCCAGCCACCAGATGATAAAATGGCTTATTTTTTTTATTAAGTACTCACTTTCACTTAATTTTTTTTCTTCTCTCAATTTACTGGTGTTTTACTATTCAAACACACCTCATCTTACAACTCTATAGACATTTTCTAGATTTAATGGTGTTCATCTCCATGGTCATTGTATTTTTTCTCCTTATTTTTAACCAACCAACGCACCTCTCTACAAACAGTTCTTCGTCAATCATCGATCCTGTTTCCCTCAGGAGTGACCACCTTTTCGGTCCTCACCCGCACTCTTCCCCCTGTGATGTTACGGCTCCCAATTCAACAAAAATAGGGGTTTGTTAAAATTTCATTTTAAGGAATGATCAGAATAAACATGCAAATTATGCTATCATGTGACTACTAGTATTGGGTAAATATAACATGAGATACAATATGGGGTATGAGCTCCGTTTTCTTAACTAAATGATTAAAGTCAGGCACTCACTACACCGGAAGCATGTCAATTGCGAACGCAACGGCAGAACGTGCATAACGGATCGTTTTTAACGATCCATCCAGACTGCCACTGACAACCAGCAGACGGCTTTGCGTCATCTACTGCGCACAGGGAGTCGAGTTGTATTTGTTGTGCGACCGTCGTAAAACGTAGTGCGTGCCCGGCTCTATAGATCCCATGAATTGAGAGCAACCTCTCGCCGTATGGACCCACTACAGCGTGTATACCCAGACTGCCCCCTTCTTGACGTCTTGGGTACAACTCAAACGGATCCAATTCAAACGGACCAAACTCAAACTTCTTATCCTCTACTACTTAAACAATCAATTTAAAATGGAAATCACTTTTTTGACCTCTCTAGGCTGGTTCGTGTCATTATAGGTCGACCAGTGCCAAATTGTGTATCTTGCTCTCAAGCAGATTGTTCAATGCAATCCCGAGCCAGATGTCCATCTTTCCCGCACTTGAAACAATCCGTGTCGCGGTTGCTGTTAGGACAACTACGTGCCATGTGTCCAGCTTGATCGCAACTGGAGAACGAGAAAAATAAAACAAATATTACGTTCATCTTCAACAACAAACAAAAACAAAACACCAAGGAATTGTGAAAAATTATCATATAAAAACCAAATCTTACTCTCAGTAAATGTAATGTATAAAGTAGGCCTGAACATTAGGTAGTGTGGTATAACGATATATTTTCTTGCCTTTAGTTATAAGACTGTATTTACCATGACATTTACTGAAACTAGTAAGGTTATCAGGGGTAGACCATCAGGGGATGAAAATATGCACTGTACACACTAGCCTACTTTGTAATTTTTCCATTTTAATTAGCATTTTTGGGCCTAAATATCATTTACAAACAATTTTTTTTTTGCTTTTTGAGTTACCACGATTCTGAAAATGGCTAACACAGAGTGTTTTTCAGCTGCATAAAATTTATAAATTATATGAGTGGAATATGTACTCAAATTTGCATTAATTCTATTTCAGGTTACACCTACTGCACATGCCTGGTAACTCAATCCCCACCCTTTTTAATCTATGGTCCACCATTGCTCACAAGTCTTACTTTAAAAAAACAATCATATTGTATATTAGTCAATTAGCCATGCTCACCGATAACAAGTTATCTTGGGACAGTCAGTGGAGATATGACCAGTCTGGCCGCACTGATAGCAGGAACGCGAGCTACTACGCTCACTCCGAGGCTCGTGGCATTCGCTGGCAATATGGCCAGGCTTGTTGCAGTTGTAGCAAGGATTCGGGTTGTCGTCCTTCTCTGGACAGTCTCGTTGAATGTGCCCAGTCTTGTGGCAACAGTAGCATTTTTCTACTTTGTTGGGACACTCTCGCTGGCGATGACCCACTGCGTTGCATTGGTAACAGACAGCTGTAAATTTAGGCATAACATGCGATTATAATAAAATATCTTGTGCACAATTAACTAACAGAATAAGGAAAATTGTGGTTTCGTTAAGGATACAAGTTTAACATTGAATTAGTATCGGATATGTGGATTGAGAGACCTAATTTCATCTGACAAGCACAATTATCAATTAAATTATGGAAGCATATCTATGCATTTAATAGTATAACATTGCATCAAGGACCTCGATTGGAAGTGACCCATGCCATACAAAGTGACTAATAAATACCACAGCAGTAAAGATTGAGCCACCAAATGAAGTAGCTTTGAATGTGAGGCTGAGTTTGGCATTAATCCAGGTTACCTAATCAGATTTATATCTGCTCGACTCAACAACAAAGTTAAAGTTTTCAAATTTTAAACAAGAAAAAAACACATTTTTGTCCAAAAACCCTCCTTTCACCATCTTTAACAGTATCTTGGATCTTAATAATCTAAACTGCAGAGTGATCAGTGACCAGTGACATGAGTTCTCTAGATACATAAAAGAAATTCCAAATAAAGTTCAATTTTATCATTGGGTTGGGAATCCCAATGAGAATATTGAGAGGGGTTCGTCCTATTAACATTATTACCCCCAGATCACTGGATCAAGCACATGAAGCACACTCAGCTCCCCGGGGAGAATTTCCACATTGTTGCAGCTGTCATTAGCACATAATATGGTGTTCGAGCCTACTAGGTGGCCACTTCCACTCCCGAGTGAAGAGACACAATCGTAGGTAAAATGCCTTGGCAAAGACACATGCACAGCGAGTGATTCAACCCCCGACCTCAAAGTTAACAAGCAGAACCACAACTGCTGTGCCAAACTGTTGCTAGTATCACATGTTGCATATAAAGATCATTAGAATTCTTGATAATTGATAATATCAAATGATCCAATCAATCATTCCCTATATTCACTTCTTGCATATGTCATACCTTCGTTCTCCTTCACATTTGTACAATCCTTAGCAAAGTGGCCTGACTTGTTGCAACGATAACAACGATCTGTAAGACGAAGATATATTACAATGAAATACATGTAGAATTGAGAGCACTTTTCTTGCACAGTACAACCCCTACTAAAGTGACACCTTCAGGACCAATAGAGTGTCCTCATAATAGGGATGTACCCATAATACAGGCAACCCTATTCAGGGGACACTAACCCAAATTATATAACATTATAGAAAATTATTTTATATAATTCAAATTTGTATTGATTCGAACATTTGGCACACTCACAAGGCATTCATTAAGTCCCCTTAATAAGGGCATATCCTTAATAAGAGTTGTTCTTAGTGTTGAAAATATATTTCCCATCATTTCACGGAAATGTGTCCCCTTAATAGAGATATCCCCTTAAAAGGAGTGTCACAAAGGCGGTGTTCGACTGTATTTATTCACTTTTTAAAAAATTTGATACTAGAGGCATTTTGTAAAGATAATTTTCATGGTGGTTGGCATGTTACTCTGAATTGTGTGTGTATCAGTTTGCTGAGAGCACAGGAATTAGTTCGGTTTCAAATTTGTTAATCCTGCCGAAGAGACAGGCTAAAAAAAGTGAATAAAAAAAAAAAATTTAAAAAAAAGTCAATAATTGCGCGTTTCACTCACTGCCTTCTTCCGTGCATTCCTTGGCATAATGACCATTCTCATTACACTTGTAGCATCTTACTGAAGGAAAAAAAACAAAAAACAAAACATAAATCACATGCAACATGACATAGCTAAATTTACAGGATTACAAATACTTAACTGCTACATATAATTTTCAATACAATCCCATTTTTGGCTATACCATCAGAATTTTATGAGCACTGTGCCTGGCGTAGCACTAAGAGCAGACGTGCCAATATGCGAACAAAGGTTTTTCTGTCCTAGTTCAATTGCATGTGCCATTCAAAGTACAGTACACTAATCCTTTTATTGGTTCCCACAGTGAAATGACACCAAAAATGTCACCAATTAAATATAAAGCAAGACATAGGATTTTCAACACATTCTACAGTAATGGGACTTATCCTTATGGGCATAGTTTCAATCTTAAAGCTGCGTCCAAACAGCTGTGGACACAAATTTGCACGTATGGACATGACAATGTCAATACAACACCCAAATATATGTAAATCATGGTGTATTTGTTGCATAAAAATTTAATAGTGTGAAAAGAGCTTTAGATTTGGGGTGTTTCTTTCTTCTTTTTTTTTTACAGCAGAATACTGTAGTTACTCAGCTGTAAAACTGAATCAACTCAATATAATCAAACGATTAATAATAGTTTAATTCTATGTAAAAACCAGTGAGAAAATAATGAACAAATATATAGAAATTCAATAAGTTAGTGGCTGCGGCAGCAAACTTCATACCTGTGTTGGACAGGCATGGACCCCTGCCATCCCACGCCACAATGAGCTTATCAGCGTAAAAATATTAAATTTGCCAATCCGAAGTTTTGATTGCCAATCTGTAATGTTGTGGTCAAAAAGCATAATTTTGGGCATCCTAATCCATAAAATCTCCCTATCCACCCCATGAACACCACCAGACCATCACAGAGCCCCTACAGTAGGTGGCCCCTGGGTTTGGAGCTCTTGTCAGACCTCTTGGACCCCTGTGGGCAAATTTCTTAAGCCACCACTGTACACATTCAGGCTTCAACATGAAGGAAGCAGTTGCCAACCATAGCAAATAGGTTAAGCAAATCAAAATCATAATTAGTATCCCTTGACAACAGTATGCAAACAAAATAAATAATTATTATATGTATATGAAAATCTGTAAATGCCACTCTTTTAATTATTGTATGCATTAAAAATAATTATGCATTAAAAATTATTATGCATTAAAAATAACTGCTAAAGCATACCATTAGCTAGGTTCATATCTAATTTTCAGTCAATAAAAATCATGAGTAAAATAGTTAAAATATTTTGGAAACTAGATGAAGCTAGTGCTACCAAGGTGGTTTTATTGTGAATATTATTAAACCATGGATTTGTTCCTCCCAACATCTAGGATACTCAGTGTTCTCCCAATTGAAAAATTTTTACTGCTAAATTTGTCCATATAGAGCCAGCTAAGCGCACACAACTTCAGATTTTGCCAATTTTAAGTGGATTTAAATGGCTTCAAAAAACAATAATACGTAATCATAGCTTAGGCCTGGAAAGGAATGATGTTCGTTTATTGAAAAAAGGCCAGCCTAGTCAACCTAGGTCTAATAATGTGCTTTTTTATTCTACCAACACACAATTTTTACTGGTTGGTCAGTTATTTTTACTGGTAAAATTGACAGCTAAAACGGCTTCGGGAGAACACTGATACTGTTGAATGCAATTAGCACAATGTGCACGCTTTATATCCAAAGGTGAATAAATTACGGTAAATGTAAAAATAAGGATAAAATTTTGTATGAAAGTTTTGCTAATTAATTTAACTAACCCAAGCAGTCCACTATTTTGCATATTGACCTTGGGTTGTTTATGTGGCATTGACACTTTCCACTGTATTGTACTATAAACACAGTCAGTTTTTGTTGTCATATAATTAACACTGAATTCACAACCAAAAAAGGAATTGAAAGAGAAATACTAAGTACTCTAATATACTAAAACAAGAAGGATATTGACAAATATAAATGGAGGTACAGATATAGTCAAACAGAACAACAAGTAAACTGGTCTTCTAAGTAAAAAGGGAAAGCACCAACTACTTTTGCCAAACCATGCTACAGTATGTTACATTAAGACCATCACTATTGCACAACTACTAATAACATACTATATGCGCACATATTAACTAATACTTAAAGGTAAATGCTACATGCTAGCTAATGTAAAGCACCAAAGAATTTATCACTCTTATCAGAATCGATTGAAATCTCAGTTTAGAAATCAGATGGGAAAAACAGAATTTTGTAGTTAAAATGGTAGTTAGTCAATTTACCATGTATTTAAATTTATTAGTATTCTAGCCCATATTTTAAAATATTTTGTATTTTATAATTTGTTAAGTATCAAAATGAATATCTTTTTTTCCATTATTAACACAATATTTATGTGAAACTAACACAATGTGCAAGTAAAGAAAAAATATTTATAAACAGAACATTTTTATGAACGATTCAAAACATGTGTATATGAAAAGGAATAAATATATATATAAATATAAATATATATACAAGTGTTAGCATGCAGAGCAGGGTACGAAAAGGTGCAAACTACCAACATTCGGCACACCACGCACCTTACCTGAATGTATATTACCCACACGACCTCTCGGCCTTCCACCTGCGTAGAAAGATGTAACGTAATCCTAAATGCAATAAAGGTAATTGCAAAAAAAAAACAACCTACAACTTTCCCCCAACCTTCTACATAGTTTTACATTTAATAACATCAGCAAAGTAGGTTTACACACATATAACAAATTCTTGGCAACGCTCCAAAAATGGAACAGTCTATGCATATGCAAATGCATGGGCGACAAAATGGTTGTTCTGGCGCACTGCCATTTATCCAGCCCCTGTGGAAAAAACGCTATAAATGTAACGAGATATTCACTTTAGGCATCTTATGAATTCTTCCAGCTAAAAACCACAGCATAGTGCTCAACAGTAGCAAAAAGCAGAATAGACTCGTGGGAGGCAGGCGAAGCAAACCTGATTTTGCACTGGATAATCCGTTCATGGCCTAAATTAAATTTACCAAGCAAGTATAACATAGAAATGATGTGAGCAACCATGTACATTCATACAGTATATGCTATATAGGCGAGAATCATCATTATTGGCAGGCAGTGAACCCACTGCCTGCCAATAATGATGATTTGGAATAAACATTTTATTTTTGGCCAAGTAACGCACCTGCCACTACAAAAAATAGAAATTTCAGAAAAAAATAAAGTTTTTCTTTTTCTTTATATAGGAGGGCAGAAAAAAAATAAAAATAAAATTTTGTTTTTTTATTTAGCAAATGGTTTTGCCTAAAACATCCAGACAGGAGAAAATAAAAATTAAATGTTAATGTTGAATGTAAACAGTGTAGTACTGTTAACAGTTTTAAATGCTTTAAATTTATATCATTAGGAAGAAATATACATCTCATTATTGGAGATTTCAAGGCAGTGGTGGGTGTAATTTAAAGAAAGAAAAACTTCTATTTTTTCTCTGAAATTTCCACTTTTTCGTGGCGGTGGGTTTGCTAACTGCCCAAAATAAAATTTTATATTTATTCGAAATCATCAATATTGGTGGGTTCGCGAAACAAGGTATAAAATATAATCAAAAGTTGGCCTTCCAAAAAAGTAGGGAATTAGTTAGACATAATACTTTTTATAAAAACCGAATATCTGCATTGCCAACTTAGTATTGAAATGCAAAAGCAGTCATGAATATAACTATTTTTATGTTTCAAGTGCAGTTACCCATTTCTTCCTTTTAAACAAACATTAGATTATAAAACTTTTCACATACAAGTTACTTTGTCAGCAAACCAGAAATTACAACTCACCTTTGGAATAACTGGGTCTTGAACTGGCCGCGTTGCATTCTCGCTGAAGATGTCCTCGTCGACCACAATTATAACACTTATAATCACTCATTCTGTTTCCGTAACAACACCTCTACACCACACACTCCCTTAAAGAAAAGAAACTGGGCTGTAATGTAATTTTGGCAGAAATTGAGTAATTTAATTAACAACTACAGTATGTGGAAAAACTTACAAGCAAAAAAAAAAAACTTACAAAAAAATAACAAGCATAAAACAAACTGGGTGCTGTAATATGATTTTGGCAGAATTTGAGCAAGAATTATATTAACATCTACAGTAGGTAGGAACACTCCCTTAATAAACAAGCATAAAGAAAACTGTGCCTAACATAAGGTTTGAACACTCCTTTAAAAAACACAAAAGAAACTGCTGGAATACGATTTTGGAAGAATTTGAGAAATTATTAACATCTAGGTGTGAACACAACAAAAGGAAAAAAAAAGTCGGCTGTAATTTCTGATTTTGGGAGAATTTGAGAAATAATTAACATCTAGGTGGGAAGCTCTATACTTGCCAATTTGGTTACAATTTATAAACAATGGCAAATTCAACCCCCTCCCCCCAGCCCCTAAATTGTTCAAAAATGGTTTTTTTTAAATGTAGTATAAAGAAAATTATATTCAAATTTTAAGTCTGAGAGTGCAATTTCTGGTCATCTAGATGTGCCATAATCACAAATTGTCTTACCTCAGCCCCAACCATGGTGGGGCTGAGGTGGTATAGCTTACAGTAGATCCTCCGTCTGTGAAAGTACCTCCCCGGGGCCCCTCCTATTTTTAATAAGGCCATCTCAAAGTTTAATCCTGAAACCGCGAAACCCATTGTAGACACTGATACTGTACTCTGTAAACTACAGTAACACAGGGCTGATCAAGTCTTGGCTAATTATCAGTTTGTTTGGACTTCGATCACCACCCACATTAAAAAAAACTTATTATCAACTACAACTGCAAAGACTAAACCGTTTGATAACATGCTGCCTGAAGAAACAAATTCTTCATAGCACAGTTAACAATTTCAACAACCATTCTGTCCCAGTAATTGTAGAAAATCATTACCATACAATACTAACATTAATATATATTCATGTTGTTCTTTTTAAATTTGTTTATGTTTTATTATGTTAAAAGGGCCAGAAGGCTATTTATTGAATAAAAGCCTTTGGGTACAGAATGGTTTTTGAATAAAAAATGATTTGATACAGTGGCCCACACATTTTATTGTACATAAATTATTGATATTCATACAGTATATTTCAAAATTGTATATAGGGCCTACTCTCATTTTATTTACTTTTGTATAACTTTTGTGATTTAATGAACTGTAATGTTTTAATGTGCAATTAATTATTAGGTTTACATGTCTGTGTAGTGGTGGCGCCAGTGATTCCCTACCAAGGGGTCAAAGGTCCAAGACAAACATTATGAAATATTTTCAGTGATGCAGGAAAAATAATTAGGGTTTTCTTCATTTCAAATTTATACAATTTAAATCCTAATGACACCACCATGATGAAACCTTTTTATTAAAGAACTTTATATAAATTATTAATTCAAGAAATATAAAGCATTTATCAATCTAATTACTGAGCTCTTTACTTGCAACATCAGTTAGGTTAAAGGTTATTTACTTATTTTGTAGAAAATACCAGAATATCTATGCGCAGAACAAGTGAGCAGATGTAATGGGAAAATAAAAAATAAAATCAAAGCCAGCACCCAAACCGCAGTATGGGGATACGCCCTCGTCGCTGAGCAGGGGTCTATCAAAACGTACCCTGTCCAGCACCAGTTGAGTCTCGGCCATCCCAGGACTCGGGCGCCTCCTATCCTGATAGAACTACAAAAAAGCTAGCTGACAAGGAATGGAAAAGGGGAAAATCAAAGAGAACGAAATAAGCGAGTTTTTAAACAAAATTTAAACAAAGAGACGGATAATTTAGAAGCAAGAGACTACAGTAAAGTTGCCCACTATTTATTACTGTATTTTACTGACATTTTGTTCATCAAGAAAATTATATTAAATGTTACTTTCACAACTGAATTATTAAGCTGATAAGCGGTTTCATGACACACAGTCACCATGTGGTTGTGGTAACCACAACCACAACTTTAACAATAAGAAGTAACCACAAACATGACAAGACCACAAATTGTGTTATTTATGGAAACTTGACACCTATTTTATTGATGTAGGTAATAATGATTATTGAACAGCACAAGATTGCAAGAATTAAAAATGGCAAAAAAAGGCAGGTAGGCCTCGTGCTGGGTTTCAAGTGGTGTCTACCAGATAATCGGCAAATCCTCGACTAGGCTAGGCCAAACTCTATATTATTATTATTATTATTATTAACGCCGTGGCTAGAGATACGGTACCGTATCGGAACTTCTGATTGCTAAAGGTACGGTAAATGATATTATGATATGATTAGCCAATAGAAACGCCGATACATGCGTACGTCATTCAGCGCACTGCCGCTGCAAGAGTAATGAGTGTGTGTTTTAGCAACGGTCGAAGATTCGTTCGGTCGCGTGTGTTGTTGATAAGCTGTGATTAATATTCTGTAGCCTGAGGCCCTATAGAAAATAAAAAGGATAGCAGTTTTGGTAGATTTGGCGACATCAAGCGAGAATAAACTATTTTAAGCCTAGCCTAGTAGCACGCCTATAAGTATGCCCCTAGGCGGGTATTCGGGCTAGGCCCTAGGCCTAAGCCTAGCCTTAGTAGACCATGCTCTATAGTAGACCATGCTCTATGGTAGACCATAAAATACGCAAGAATAACAGAAAGGATTTTTAACCCAAACAATGTGATAAGCCCCAATCGAAATGCATGAAATGGGCCTGAAGTTTTATGACATAAATTTGATCGTAACTGTTCGCGTCACGTTTCTCATGATCGCGATGTCGACTTTGCAAGAAAGCCAAAATCGAGTCGGTCATTTCTATTGGCTAATCATGACGTAATATCATTTACCGTACCTTTAGCATTTGGAAGTTCCGATACGGTACCGTATCTCTAGGCACGGCGTATTATTAATTGCATGCGAGTTAGCCTACATGGGGTATGGGACATGTTCATTGTTGTCACACACACAGCCACCGCACTATGGCCGTCACAGATTCCAAGGACCCACACACACGTTGGAGGACTACGTAACTACTGCCAGATAGACCTAGCCTTGGCTTCGTACTCGTTCGTAGCTTGTTCGACCGCCATCCAGCCAGCCCGCGAGGTATTGATTTGAAAGGCAAACCTACAGCGGCTAGCCTAGGCCTACGCCCTCATTATTTTATCTTGTCACCAACCATTTTAAGGATTCGCTATGTACAGAGCTTCACTAAACTACCTGGATAACATTAGGGTTTTGGCAGCGACTATAATCACGTATTTCTGACAAAATCAATACCATTTTATTACCAAGCAGGTTGGGCCTTTCGCAATGCATGCTTGAGCCTCCTCTTAATCTTATATCTCCACACTACATGCATGCTCCATGTGAATGTGAACACTGCAAAATGCTCACGATCTAGCACCTATATTATTCAACACTGCCATTCGCAGAAAACAAAGAACGAAATATGATTACTACTACGTACATTTATGATAATGTAGCTGATTTTCTTGCAAATTATATTGGTTTTACTCACCTCTAACCACTCTTTTTTTGGGTGGATTTGAATTAGAATCTCGGCTTCGCAACAGACCTCTAAAGAAAAACTGACGCGCTCTTTCGGCACGTGTTCTGCACACGGTACTCTATAAACATATTTTTGCACACGGCACGTCTCTCAAAGACTTGTGACGCTATTCCTTCGAAGTCTTGTTTATTCCATCTTTAATCCATAGGGAAACGTACCGAATTAAAAGCAAATATATAAAAATTAAATTGATATTACACATTGTAAAATTGGCAACAGTCAATGTGAAATTACCTTAAAAATGTATATGACTTTGCACACTGCACTAAGACAGAATCCATGAGTGACGTTTCAATGGCTTTGTGGGTGTGGCTTCAGTTACTACAATGTTTACATTTTTGTTGGACATTTCGCGCGCTTTTGTAACAGATATTTCTCTTTATTATTTCTTTTAATTTGATATATTTCGGCAAATCTTACAAAATAAAAAGTAATAAATTTTTGTTTTGTTGCGTTATGAAGTGAAAAAATATAAATTTCAATCATTTCGATCATTACAATTGCATCAATTTTCTTGATGAATTGATTAGGCTTAGCACATTTTTTTTTTTTTTTTTTATATATATATTAATACAGTACACCTCCTCCTACATGAAATTTAACAATTACAAAGGGAGGCTGGCCAACTGTATATCCAGGGTCGGATAAGGGATCCAGCAGATCCCCACTAGATTTTTGAAAACTAAAAAAAAATAAGAAAAAAAGCAATTTAAATTCATCCTGAACTCGATCTGCCCATGGTATAACTTCAAATGACTCATGTCACCCAAATTTATCAAGTACTGTAACTGATTTAGTAAGTTTTGTACAAAATTCTTAACTAGATTAACAGCAAATTAAACAGTCTACACTGTATGTAAAGAATAGAAGAGTGTGAAATAGTTAGCCCCAAACTATAGTGTAGCCCAAACAGCAGCAAATTTAATATTCTTCACCAAGAGCATTCCAGTTCTAGCATGCAGCTAATCTACAGAATAAAAAACAATTACATTTAATGAACTTCAGAGACAAAACATCAATCAAGTACAGCATCATTTCAATTCATTAAACCATTTAATAAATATTCGTAACTCTATATAATATAATTATATACATTCATCTTTTGATTTACAATAGTTTTCAATTCTATCAGTACTATTACCCTCTGTTCCTGTCCTGCTTTAAAATCTTTGTTTTTCATGACACACACAGATTGCAACTTTGAGCCAGTCCTAATAAAGCATCGGGGGCGGGGGGAGGGAAGGGGCTGGCTTCGTACAAATTTTTTATATAGGCTTGGATTTTTTTGATATACTGTAAACACCAAGGATAACCTTGTACTTGTAAATTATATCTTTACACTTCACTAAATCTGATACACAGAACTGAATGCTGGGAATTACTTATCACTTGTGGCAAAGTTTTGGCATGTTCCCATTTACACGAGAAACATTTAGTATTTAAAGTGTTTACTAGTCATTTTGCAACATCATTTCTTTTCTGAACTAAAGAGACCACGTTTACTACCATAATCAAAATACAGCATGCCTGCATAGCTGACACAATTGCATGGTAAAACTTTATTAGAGTCATATTGCTCTTTATAATTCATATAATAAAACAATTTTTATTTTTTAAATATGTTATTGCACATGGAAAAAGTTGTGAACTATTCAAGGATTGGAGGTATACAGTATTGGAATATACTATTATATTATTTTATGCCGAACATTAAATAACTGTGCTGTACTGTATTTACAACTGATGTTCTGGGGCGGATGCAAGGGGTGGGGGGGTGGTCGTGTAGAAGGTGAGATCGCACCCCCTAAATTGTATTTTTTTTAAAACAATTGTTGTATTGTATTGTTAATATATAATATTTTTATCATTATGAACATAGTACCGGTAAGATTTTTAAAGTGTAAGAGTGCAATTTCTAGGCATCTAAAGGTCCATTCTTAAAATTCACTCTCCTCAGCCTCAACCATGCTTACCACCAAATCCTGCATTCGCCCCAGATGTCAATAATGATTTTCAATAAAAATAAAATTTCCTTTTTGGCCAATTAGTGCACCCGCCACCACGGAAAAATGGAAATTTGAAAAAAACAGAAGTTTTTCTCTATTTTTATTATGGTATAAAAAAAGTCGCGTTAATTTATCATGTACATTTTTAAAGATCAGTATAATGATTCAATATATGTACTGCAAATATTTACAAAAGGTGTCTCAAGGTAGTAGAACAACATCTGGATTAACGAGCCTAATCAACACATCTAACTGACATTATTACACATGGTCTGCTGACTTCAGAGAGCCAATGATAATACAGTAGAGAAAAATCACTATGGGTTTGCAGGAGATTAGGGACCTCCGCCACGGCCTTAGCTGGGTATGTATGAGGGCGTATCCCCATACTTCGGTTTGGGTGCTGGCATGGTATGGAGACTTTTTGTATTTTGCGCTCTATAAATTAATAACCATTAACCATTATGTGTATATAATAGAATTGGGATGCTTACTTACCTACGCTATTATTATTATTATTATTATTATCAAGGTGAGCAAAATTTTGATTTAACAATACATTTTGTTTTATTTATGAATACCCCCCCCCCCAATCTTTACGCCTTGATATGCCACTGATCTGACCATCCACCGTCAAATGAGTTGTTTTACACCTCTTGTCGTATTGAGATTAGTAAACTTAAATTAACTTGTGAATTCTTTTTTAATTCAGCCAAGTAAAATAAAAGACCATTTTTGGGCATCAGCTTTTTCAGAACAAATCTTTAACTTAAGCTGGCAATGCTGCACGATCTGATCTAGACAGGCCAAAACAGAAGGGTATGAAAATCATCACTACCTTGTATGTTATTTTAGCAACCAAGAATGTATAAAAAAAAAACAAAAAAAAAAAACAGCAGCAGCAAAAAAAGAAATGGTGCCTAAACAAGTAATTAATATATTCTTTAGTTTTACTTGGCCTTATGTATTACATAAAATGGCTTGTTATCTTAGTTAAAAAATTAAGGTTTAAATCTTTTATACCCTGTGTTAAACTATAAAAAACAATATGGAAATTTATGAAGCAAATGCAAAATCAACATTACAGTGGCGGATTCAAAATTATTCAAACAATGCCGGAGAACGCAAGAAAATTACAGTTGAACTTGCCGAAGTTGAATCCAAAATGGCATTGAAAAATTGACTTAGATAAAATTTGACTTAAGAAAACAACAATATGGCATGTAAAATAAGATCAACTTAAGCCCTCCCTGGGCCCACTCTATTTCAAATTCCTAGATCTGCCACTGTATACAGTGAACTGAATGTTGTTGGCAATACAGTACATTGGTCTTGTGTAACAAGACTCATTTTAAGGTGACAGATTATATAAATTACAGTAGTTACAAGCCTACTTGTCTGCTTTTCTAAACTCTGTGCAAACCATCAGCAACTTGGAATACCATACCAAAATTCTTTCTGATATAACTGCAAGCTTGAGATTTTCTAATACTGTAGGTATTTGAGAACAGGAAATGCATCTTCGCATCGAATATTTAAGACATGCATCAATCACTTTTAATGGGAGATTTGTTGTTGAATTTTCAAAATGCACCTGTGACTCATCTCCTGACTTAGTAGCATATCAAACAGGACCACAAGTAATAACAACGCTTTCTGAAAATACACAAAATATTCAATGATCAGAAAATCAGATTTGCAAGGCAAATACTGTGTTAAGCTTTGCCCAGATTATCACATTTTCTTTGACAAAAAACTGTTGTACTTGCCAACATACAGTCCCAATGTGCCTATATATGGTCATGATGTGATGTCATCATGACCATATTTAGGCATGTAACATGTTGTTGTCAAATAAAATTTGATAGTTTGAACAGGGCTTTAGATATTTTGCTCATTAAAAAAAGTACAGGTGAATTCTACTGAATTTGCATTTGAGTCTGGTAGGCTTGACAGCAATTATTTTTATGTAATTCAAATCTTGGTCTTCCTAAGTTGTATTTATGTACGCAACACGCAATTTGGCCGCAAGGCCACGAAAGGTTATTATTTTATGTGTTTTCCTGAATAAAAGATATACATATTTTCTCATGTGCGGTGGGCTATAAATGAGGAGAAAATTTGCATGTGTATCGGGAGTCTTGGGCTTGAAAAACCACTGCTGTACTTTATCAAATCATCTTAAAACTCTGTCCACACAATTGTATGTGTGTTGTGCCATGGCCCTTATGATGTCATATTATAACCAAATATGGTCAGATCACATTTGTCACATAAAATATGTGGACAGAGATTTAATCACTTCACACATACCATTGGTGATTCTAACTAGTCATATAGTCTTCCTCTTCATCAAAGCAGTCACCAAAATCTGATTCAAAAAATGAAATTATATCTCTGTCAATATTATTATTATTAAAACAATTATATATTAGTAGTACTGTAAATCCAACACTATAGTATGGTTTATAAACAGCAGTAAACAAAAAGAAAAAAATAAATCGCAAAGTATAAACATAAATTTATGTGTATTACAAAAGAATTCTAAATACAGGATGCACAAGGAAGGATTTTTTACAATATCTACCGCTACGGTAGGCGAGTTGATTGGCCGAGCGGTTAAGTCAGGGGCACCGTAACCTTCAGCTCTAATATCGGCTCTGGTTCAAATGGCTCACTCGCCAATGGTTCCGGTGGTGGAACAAGTCTTCTCGGATAAGGACTTTAAACCGTAGGCCCAGTGTACGCATTTGAAACGGTAAGCCTGACACTCACTCCTATGACAGTTGGCTGATAAATCCAACTCAGCTGCCTGAAGCGCCGCCTGTTTGAACAGATCGTCATTAAAAATGATCCGTTGTGTGTGCACAATTCTCCATAGAACCATGGCAGCTCAGGGTAGGATTATTTTTTTTGGTGGGGTGGGGGGGAGCAGGGCTGGCCTGGCCCCCCCTCCCACCTTTTGGAAAGTAAAAAAAAAAGAAAGAAGGAAAAAGAAAAAATTGATCGCCCAAGAGGTTATTTTCGGGCATCTAGAAAAACAAACATTTTGCGGGGAAATACCCTCGGACCCCCTAGGGTCTGTCTCTTATACACATCTCCCCCCCCCCCCCCACCCTTTCAGACATCTCTGGATCCGCCCCTGCAGCCTACGACCGTCGGGCGCATTGTGTGGCCAGTTTAACAGTACTATATAGATGCATAGATAGGTTTGTACAAAAGATTTGTGTGTTACAGTGTGTACAAATATTTAGTAGGCCTAATAATATCCTTTTACAATCATCAGCATCAATAAGCAACAATGCAAGTGAATGTTATGTATACTGTACAAACCATACCATTAAAGAAATCAATATGGACATGTTGTATTGGCCATTTGATCTCTTGTGACCTTCGAGAAGATAAGCTGTTTGTTGAGTCTCCTCTTCTCATCTGGAAGCCAACATTTGATGTACTTCCTCTCACACTTCTGTTAGATTTCCTCTCCAGTTTGTAGTCATCTGCAGCCCACGACGTCACAAGACAACCTTCATCCAATGCAATGCCATCCCCACTCCTTGATAAACTTTCATTTTGAACTTGCAATGATACCTCTTCTGGAATGGACTTCCCTGGATGTGGATCTACTGCATCAAGGGGAAAATAATCCGATTCATAACTATATGCAGAATCTCCATCACTTTCTGAATCTTCAGCAGTAGATGTCTTACGTGAAGGCATCAATCGGTGACAGTTTATCATATTTGCAGGCTGTGATATCAAATCTTTGCTTTTTTCGGTAACAGCATCACAGATGTTTTCATCTATTATAAGAGTTTCTTTATTACTTTCAATAGCTGGTTTCATCACTTCTGCGTGGCATCCATTTTCTGAAGAAGTATCTTTCTTTTCTGTACTGATGGTAGGCTTGTCAGCATTGGAATCCAAGTGTTGGTGAATTATCATGTTCTCTAGTGGCTTGCAAACTTCAGGGCTTTCCTGAATTTGAGTTTGTTGATCACAATCAATGGCATCATCTGGTATCTTTTCAACTGTAGAGGAGCATTGTTCTAGTTTATTATGCCTTCGAAAGTTCACCAGATCTAAGCCTGCAACTCTATGTGCAGAATCCATATTAAATTGCACACTGCCACTGGATCCTGTTCCCTGTCTTTCCATTTGGCAAGATTTTTCATTTAAGCTTGTAACCTCAACATCTGTTTGCAAAGTTTCTTTTAAAATAACTGTTTGTGTATCTTTTAAATTCTGTTCATTTTTAGCAGATGTTTCGCCTTCATGTTTAGAATTACAACATTTTGGTGAGCCTGAAGTTTGTGTATAAATACCTTCATCCATTTCCTTTGAAGGGCTAGATATTTTAGTTTCTAATTTATAAATTACTGGATTTGTTTTTTCTGGTGATGAACTTAAGTTGAAATTACTTGGATTTAAATCCGTATAAAATTGTGATGCTGTCTTATTTAATTTGATAGAATGTACATGCGAAGTAGTAACCGCAGACGACTGTGTATGTATGCCACTTTCACTAACAACCTTATTATCTCCAAATTCATCTTCATTCTGGCCCTGAACTAGCCTAATACTTAGGGCTGTATCATCATCTCTAGCCTTAATATTTCCATTGCGTTTTAAATTTTCAGAATCAGATGTTATTTGCGTTGTGTCCCCCTGTGACTCTGCGGCTGATGACAAAACAGAATCAATATCCTTTATTTCTATAGATAAAAATTCTTCATCAAATGTACTAGACTGAACACAGCCAAATGTAGGCCAAGTTATTGTTGGATGACTTTGAGACCCAACAGCAGTCTTGTCACGGTTTGGTCGGGTACGGTTCCAATCACAGTCGAGACGAGAAAACCGCTTACACCTTGAAGCTGAAGAAGTTACGTTTACAACACTCTCCTCCGGCGTCTTGTTCACATCATCAGAATGAACATCAGGCCTAGCGCTCTCTGGCTTGAAACTGTCTTTGTTAGCATGCTTTTTAAAATTACCTGCATTTGAATCAAGTTTCTGAACAGAATTTACGGCGTTTATCAGTCCACCTGAAGAATCAAATGAAGATGAATGAATCCCTTTTGCTGTTCTGATCCCCTTTCGGATCGTCAGTTCTGTTATTTCGTCCTTTTGATGTATTCGAGAATCTGTTGAATTACAAACAACAGAGGGCCTGGACAAATGTTCGATACATAAACAGGTCTGAGTTTTAAGAGCACATTGTTTCCCATTCATCAATCCATTGCTGAGTGAACATCCCATCACAAAAATAACGGTAAAAAAAAAACGGTTTGTTCATGGAACCATGGAACGAACGAGCGCGAAACAAAACGTCCCGTAATTTTGGCGCACACGTCACAACAACGACGCTGCAGTAGAACTTATTATTGCGTACCTGGGATCTATTCTTAGTAACGGATTTTAACACAGGGGGCGCTAAACCGTTATTCATGGCAGAGCCGTAGATAGAAAGAGTTGCGACATTGAGAATTTAGAAGCCATTTGGTTTAACGTGATGTGCGTTCCTGTGTATAATATTGTATAATACAGTTAGCGGCCTCCTGTATATTTTAATTTCATTTAATCTTTTTAGCAGTCGAATTTCATGTAACTATTTATAGATTTTTTTTAATGACTTCACTATACTTTATATCCAATTTCATATTATAAAATAATACTGTAATAATTTACTATTTTTAAGCAGTACTTTAATCCTCGCCGATAGACCAAGAAAGCCCCTCGATGGCAAGCATTCTTTAATTAGGCAATCCTTAAGTAGCTCCTATTATTTTTGCAAATAAATGATATGTGACGACCAGCAAAAATTAATTAAATATGTATATCAAAATGTAATTTAAATCCGTCTAGGGTATATAGATTGTTGCTCTTTAAA